ATAATAGACTTCCAACCAAGCTTCTATAGAGAGATGCATCCGTTTCTTTACTTCCATCTTCTTTCATCAATTTTTCATTCACAACCAAGGGAGTGCAAACGGATTTGTAATTCAACATTTTGAATTTTTCAAGAAGAGTTTTTGCATACTTCTTTTGACAAATAAAAACTACTCCTTCTTTTTGATAAATTTTAATGCCCAAGAAGTAATGCAACAAACCCAAATCACTCATTTCATATTTTTTCATCATCTCTCTTTTAAAATCATCAATCATTTTTTCATCACTTCCGGTAAATACCAAATCATCAACATAAAGAGAAACAATAAGAATCCCAGTTTTACCTTGTGTCTTGTAGTACAAGGTTGGCTCACTTTTGCTCCTTTGAAAGTCTTTTTTGATGAAGTAAGAATTAATCTCACTATACCATGCCCTGGGTGCTTGTTTTAGGCCATACAAAGCCTTCTTTAATTTGTAAACTTTCTCTTCTTCTCCTTTTGCAACAAAGCCTTGAGGTTGTTCTACATAGACATCCTCTTTCAAAACACCATTCAAGAAGGCTGATTTTACATCAAGTTGATACAAGGACCAACCATTTTGAGCCGCCAAGGCAATAAGTGCTCTAATTTTGTCAAGACGAGCCACGGGTGAAAAAGTTTATTGAAAATCAATTCCGGGCTGTTGTGAATACCCTTTTGCTACAAGTCTTGCTTTGTTCTTTTGAATGGAGCCATCCGGATTGAATTTTGTTTTAAAAATCCATTTCACACCAATCACATCTTTGTCTTCCGGCTTCTCTACTAACTCCCAAGTCTTATTCTTCTCAATCACATAAATTTCATCTTCCATAGCTTTTTTCCATGCCTCTTGTTTAATTGCTTCTTCAAAGTTCTTCGGTTCAACAACACAAAAATTACAACTTGCATACACATCACTAAGACTTTTCATTCTTCTTGGAGATGAAGAATTTGAGTTTGATGGAGAAGTTGGGATTGATTGTAAGCTAGATACGAGAGACATTTCTTGTGGAACTTCAAGAAAATCTTCATTTTCACTTTCTTGATTTCCTGATTCTTCATTGAAAATGGGGATTTGATCTTAAATTTTCTTCTCTTTCCAATCCCAAGCAGCCTTCTCGTTAAGGAGAACATCTCTACAAATAATCAATTTATTCTTCTTCAAATTAAAGAGTCTATAACCTTTTGATTTTGAGCTATAACCCACAAAGATGCATTTTTCACTAGCTTCATCAAGTTTGTGTCTTACTTCTCTTGGAACATAAGCAAAACAAATACACCCAAAAACTTTCAAGTGTTTCAATGATGGCTTCCTTCCACTCCATGCTTCAAATGGAGTTTTATTCTCCACCGCTTTTGTTGGACTCCTATTCATCAAGTAAACAGCCGTATACACGGCTTCACCCCAAAATGATTTAGGTAGCCCCTTCTCATGAAACATTGATTTTCCCATCTCAATAATTGTTCTATTTTTTCTTTCTGCCACTCCATTTTGTTATGGAGTGTACCCAACTGTTAATTGCCTCTCCAAGCCAATATCTTCACAAAACTTTTCAAACTCATTTGAGTTGTACTCTCCACCTCTATCACTTCTTAATACTTTGATAAGATGGCCACTTTGCCTTTCAACAAACTTTTGAAATTTTTTGAAAATAGAGAACACATCTAATTTTTGTCTCATGAAATAATTCCATGTCATTCTTGAAAAATCATCAACGAAAATAATAAAATACTTGTTACCCGCTTGAGTTGGTGTTGTCATCGGTCCACACACATCGATATAAACAAGCTCCAATGGTGCTTTAGCCCTCCATGCCTTCTTTTTCGAAAATGACTCTCGGTGATGCTTGCCAAGAGCACAACCTTCACAAACTTCTTTAACTTCTTGTATTGTTGGCAGCCCATATACCATGCTATTTTGTTGTAAATTCTTTAAGCTTTGGAAATTCAAATGGCCAAGTCTTCTATGCCAAAGCCAAGACTCATTAACAACATCCATCTTCGAGGCCATATTTTTGAACATGAAAAAGTGAGAGGAAAGCTTCTATTTTTGCCCATCTTGTCACGCCCCGAAAATTCCAATAAAATCCTCCATTTATTCAAATACAAATACATCAAAATACACCCAGGATCATAAAAATTACCCCCTCTTTTATACAAAGTCAATAACCTCAATATACAAAAAAAATTTCCAAAATAAATAAAATAAATCCTCCACGCCAACTCTTCATCCTAAGCCCGTATCTACGATCCCCGTCCATCTTCGGTACCTAAAACTGGAGGGTGGTGAGACAAAAGTCCCAGTAGGAAAAACCATCTCATGGAGGTTTAATAAAACAACTTCACAAAATAAACATGTACAGGTGAGTATAAATAAAATAACTATACATTTAATCAAAACATTTAATCAAAACCTCCCCATGCCATTCAAGGTATAGAGAACCCCACCCTGAAAATTATTTTCCTCATTAGATTATCAAGTCCTCAAACTCCGGTCACCTCTGCAACCTCACGGCTCCTCTGTCTGCCGTCCATTTTCTTAGTCGATTTTTCTCTCACTCTCATTTTTCTACTCTGTTTGCTCACTAAATTCATAAAACAAGGCATCATATATATAGGAAAACCCACCCCCTCGCACCGAAACCAGCCAACAGACCCACGTGCAAAAAAAATCAGTCCAAGTCTAAAAGTTAATCTGCCAAAATCTCATCATATCCAACACACTCAAATACAATATCTCACTCCAAGACCCAACTTACGTGAAGCTCCAGACTTTCCTTTCTTATCTTTCATCATTTCAATACCAACTTGCTCCTTCTTTCTTTTCTTCTTAGCCGTCCACCTTCTTCCTTAGCCCACAAGACATAAATTATATATAATATATAAAGATACAACCAAAACCAAATTCCATTCTCTTTAAAAATCTTTCATGTGGGTCCCACCAAAAAATCACTTTTCACCATTTTAACTCCCAATTCACTGGCTCCCTTTACTTCACTCTTTATGCATTAAATATATATGTAATATATGCATTAAATATATATATCATATATTTACATAAACATGTGACAACTATGACAAATGGGACCCGCCAAAAACAACCTTTCCTTGTCAATTTCTCATTTCTTTAATTTCGTCCAACGTCCAAGTGCATTCCTTTGCATCAATTTACATATATATAAAATACAACAAAATTAAATAAAAATTCAAAACCCATTAACTTTCAGTAATAAATAATTAATTTAAACAGTCTAAAAATCATAAAATAATGAAATTAAAATTTCAAAAATTCGGGTCATCACACATCTTGATTTTTGCCACAATATGATTTTGTCCTCCCTTATCATAAATTTTGCAAGAGTCCTCATCAAAATGAATGGAGTACCCATGCTCTACAAGCTGTCCAACACTTAACAAATTTTGATCCAAATCCGGAACAAGTAACACATCCCGAATATGCTTTCTTCCTTTTTTTGTCTCTATGGCAATAGTACATTTTCCCTTTGCTTGGACCAAGGCACCGTTTCCCATCCTCACTTGAGAATTGGATGAAGAATCCATCTCCAAAAATATATTTTTATCGCCGGTCATGTGGTTACTACACCCACTATCAAGAAACCACACATCATCCTTTTGTTCCGATGTCGAATGACAAGCATAAAACATGCTCGCTTCACCTTCGTGCTCTTCGGAAAAATTAGCTTGCTTATTTGTTTTCAACCGGCAATCTTTTTGAACATGTCCAAATGTAGTGTTTATATATATAAGTTAAATAAATATTTATTTATTTACTTATGGGGCCCGCATGAGTTTTAAGTCAATGACTTAAGAGTCATTGTATAGCCTTTTATTCTGCTCTCTCTCTCTCTGCGTCCAGACCCTCTCTCTCGGCAGTTTCTCCTTTTTCTTTTTTTTTTGCAATTTCAAGCTTTGATCTAGCTCTATCCCTTTGAAATTTGGTAGAACCTTGTGAAGCAAAGTCGGAGAGCTTGTCAAGGCCTTCAATTTGATAGGAGCCAATCATCATTTGGTACACTCTAGGGAGTTCAAAATTCTAGGGTTCTTGGGCTTGGATTTGGGGATTTTGGGAGTTTTCACTTCCATTGAGGTAGGGGTGTTCTAATCTACAATTTCTTAGTTTTTTTTTGTGAATTTTTCCCCTTAAATTTGATCCTATGCATGCTAATTTTGATTATCTAGTTTGTGGTTGAAGTATGTTTAATTAAAATGCTAAATGTGTTCCATGTGTTATTTGAATTCATATATATGACTAGATTTATTACGGTGATTGAGCATGTTTGGTGTTGACATATTGTATGTCCTAAGATTATGTATTTTTTTTTATTATTTATTGCTTTGAAATAAAATGATGCTATGGTCAATAAATAAATAAAAGAAATGATTGCTTAGAAATTTTTATAGATTTTTATTATTATTTTGGTATCCTTTTGGGTCGTTACAAATTTGGTATCAGAGCAATGGTTCGAATACCATTAGGATGACGGGTAGAGGCCTACCTAGGATTGCATGGGGAGTTGAGTTATTTGCTTACTTGCTTAATTGTTTACGTGATGGCATGCTTATATGCTTATGTGTTAAGGTGCTTAATTATTTGAATTACATGCTTATTTGTTTAACTGCTTATATGACTACGTGTTAAGTGCTTAATGTTGTTGTATATGATTAGCATGATCATGTTTATCATTAGTTGGGTATTATGCGACTATGAAAGGTGCTTATGTGTTTCCATTCTTATCAAGTCATTCGTGTGAGGACTTCGTTCTCGTGCATATTTTAGTGTCATCGTTTTTGATTTGTTTCCTTTTTCTTATAGCGTCATGGCAACACGAAGGGATCCCGGGGAAAGTTCTAGCTCCAATCCCATGGAAAGGGATCAGGAGTAAGTTGAGGAAGATATCTTGTTGCGTGATTTGGTCCCACCAAGAGGGGGACAAGCGAGGGGGACTGTTGATCCACCTTTTCAGATGAATAGGGAACAAATTAGGTTAGCCATTCAAGAGGCTATTTTTGATGCATATCGACCGACAGGTGTGTCATCGTCACAGTTTGTGCCACCACCGGCTCCACCACCACCACCACCTCCGAAGACAAATGAGCTAGATGATACTCTTTCTCACATTGCCAGGTTCGTGAAGTTGATGCCAACCTTGTTTGAGGGTGGTCCAGATCCGCTTGTTGCGGACAGTTTCCTGGATAGGGTGGAGAAGCATATTAATGCCATGAATTTGGCAACGGACAAGTTGAAGATCACATTGGCGACTTACAATTTTGTGGGCGATGCTGAGATTTGGTGGAAGACCATTTCTCACACCCATAATCTGGATACTATGACATATGCTACATTCAAGAAGTTGTATTACGAGAAGTACTTTCCAGCGCCTAAGCGGAGGGAACTAAAGAAGGAGTTTGATGGGTTAAAGCAAGGAAGTATGACAGTTACAGAGTATGAAAACAAGTTTACATCACTTTTGAGGTTTGCACCGGGAATTGCTAATGATGAAGAAGGAAAGATAGAGAAATTTGTTGATGGCCTTGATCTTACCATTAGGCCAATTGTAGCTGCTTCAGAACCGACAGAGTATACAAAAGCAGTGCGAAAGGCTTTAGTGGTTGAGGCTGAGAGTAAGGACAACAAGGCTATCAGGGAGTCCTACAAGCACAACAGGGGTATGAGTACTTTCTCCGAAGGTCAATCAAGTAAGAAGCAGAAGCATGAGCAGTCAAGGTTCAGGGGACAGCAGCCAGTTAGATCTGCACCCACAGCTTCAGTGTCCATGGGGTCTTCTAGACCGAATGTTACTTGTTTCAGATGTGGGCAGTTGGGACATTACAAGTCCCAATGCACTCAGACACAGGTAACTCGGATGATTTATTTCAAGTGTGGGCAGCCAGGGCATCACAAGTCCCAGTGTACTCAGATTCAGGTGGCGTCTGGTGGATGTTTCGGGTGTGGCCAGCAGGGCCATAGGGTGAAAGATTGTCCACAGCGGGGCAGTGGTTTGGGCAAAGGTGGAGGTTCACAGCAGAGGCAGATGCAGTCTGCCACAGTTCAGTCAGGATTTCGACCACCACCACCACCTCAGCCGTCTCAGCCAGCTATGTCAGCCCAGAGTTCTCGACCTGGTAGGGGAGCTTCCTCGAGTGCACCTACGTAGCAGTCTGGCTATCAGGCAGGTAGTTCCCAGGGGCAGAGGACCCCGGGTCGCGTGTTTGCACTCACTCCAGCCGAGTCACCATCCAGTCCTTCAGTTGTTAGGGGTATGTTTCTTGTGTCCCATTCTTGGGCTCGTGTATTGTTTGATTCTGATGCTTCTTATTCATTCATTACTTCATCATTTGCACGGGCATTGGGTTTAGAGGTCAGTCAGTTAGACAGACCACTTTGTGTTGACACGCCTATCGGGGGTTCAGTTGCTCTTAGTAGAGTTTGTAGGAGTTGTTCCATCACAATTGCCAGACGTGTTCTTGAGTTCGATCTCATCCTTCTCGAGATGACGGGATTTGATGTCATTCTTGGGATGGACTGATTGTCATCCTTCAGAGCTGTCATTGATTGTTTCAGGGGCAGAGTTTCAGTGTGTACCCCGGATGGGGATTGTTTCTGTTTTGTGAGAGATCGGTGTGATCCTCTCACTCATTCATTTTATGGTGTTAGGGGTCGAGATCGGCAGACATTCTTCTTGGCTAGTCTTTTCGCCGATGATGACGTTGAGTTTTATAGGGTTGATTATCCAGCAGTTGTGCATGATTTTCTGGATGTGTTTCCGGAGGACTTGACTGAGTTGCCTCCACACCGAGAGGTGGAATTTACTATTGATTTGATGCCTGGTACCACACCAATCTCTATGGCACCGAATCGTATGGCACTGATTGAATTAGAAGAATTGAAGAAACAACTTGATGATTTGAGGATGAAAGGCTTTATCCGACCGAGTGTGTCACCGTGGGGTGCACCGGTCTTGTTCGCTAAGAAGAAAGATGGTTCTTTGAGGTTGTGCATTGATTACCGAAAGTTGAATCATGCCACCATCAAGAACAAGTATCATTTACCAAGGATAGATGATTTATTTGATCAGTTGAGGGGAGCCAGTTATTTTTCGAAGATTGACTTGAGGTCAGGCTATTATCAGTTACGGGTTAGAGAGGAGGATATTCTAAAGACCGCGTTTCGTACGCGGTATGGACATTACGAGTTTCTTGTTATGCCTTTTGGTTTAACCAATGCGCCGACGGCATTCATGGATTTAATGAACCATGTCTTCCACGATTACTTGGATCAGTTTGTGGTAGTTTTTGTGGATGATATTCTTGTGTATTCACGGACTCGGGAAGAGCACGAGGTCCATTTGGGTATAGTGTTGCAGATTCTACGGGAGCACCGTTTGTACGCCAAGTATGAAAAGTGTGAGTTTTGGCTACAAGAGGTGAAATTTTTGGGACATGTTGTCTCGGAAGGTGGGGTTTCAGTTGATCCTTCAAAAATAGAGGCAGTTTTGAGTTGGGAGCAACCCAAGAATGTCTTTGAGATCCGGAGTTTCCTTGGCCTAGCAGGTTATTATCGGAGATTTGTGAAGGATTTTTCCCGTTTAGCAGCTCCTATGACCAGATTGACCAGGAAAGGGATCAAGTTTGCATGGAATGAGGCCTGTGAGTCATCCTTTCAAGAGTTGAAAACAAGGTTGACTACGGCTCCGGTGTTGGTGATACCTGAGCGTGGCTTAGGTTATGTGATCTATTGTGACGCCTCACGTGATGGTTTGGGTTGTGTACTGATGCAAGATGATAGAGTAGTGGCTTATGGGTCTCGACAGTTGAAGACTCACGAGCTTAATTACCCTACTCATGACTTAGAGTTAGCGGCAGTTGTATTTGCTTTGAAGTGTTGGAGACACTATTTGTATGGTGAGAGATTTGAGGTGTTCTCGGACCACAAGAGTCTCAAGTACCTTTTCTCCCAAAAGGACTTGAACAACAGACAGAAGCGATGGGTTGAATTCTTAGAAGACTATAACTTTGAATTGCAGTATCATCCTGGCAAGGCAAATGTGGTAGCTGATGCTTTAAGCCGAAAATCTCGTGGGACTTTGGCTAGTTTAGCCATTCGGAAATGGAAAATGCTGGAAAATTTGGCTGAAATGGGATTGTATTATTTTGATGATGATGATGATGGCAGTGAGTTAACATTCTTGTTTAGTCTCGTGGCTCAACCCACTCTTGTTAGATGGGTGATTGAGTCACAGAGACAGGATTCAGATTTGGATGCCATTTACACTTTGATCTCCAGTGGCGAGATCGTGAAGGATTGGACCTTACATGCAGATGGAGGTCTACGGTTTAGGGGTTTGTTGGTTGTTCCTACAGTTTGTCGTGAGGACGTCTTACGGGAGTTTCATACTTCCCGCTTTGCAGTTCATTCGGGTGGTACCAAAATGTATCACAATTTGAGACGTCAGTATTGGTAGAATGGAATGAAGAATGATGTTGCACAGTTTGTAACTAAGTGCCTTACCTATCAGCAGGTGAAGGCCGAGCACCAGAGACCAGCTGGTTTATTGCAGCCGTTGCCGGTAGCGCAATGGAAATGGGAGGAGATTGCAATGGATTTTGTGACAGGTCTTCCTAGGCCACGGAGGGGAAATGAAGCCGTATGGGTTATTATCGATAGATTAACCAAGACGGCTCACTTCTTGCCTATTAAGGCAACAGATGACGCAGAGACACTCGGTGTACTTTATGTGAAAGAGATTATGAGATTGCACGGAGTTCCAGTGGCTATTGTGTCGGATAGGGATGCTAAGTTCACCTCGAAGTTCTAGGAAGGACTTCAAGCAGCGTTTGGCTCAGCGTTGCACCTTAGTACTGCATTTCATTCACAGACGGACGGCCAGTCGGAGCGTACCATCCAGATCTTAGAGGATATGCTTCGAGCCTGTGTACTTGACTTGGGTGGTAGTTGGGAGGATCACCTTCCACTTATTGAGTTTGCCTACAACAATAGTTATCAGGCGAGTATTCAGATGGCTCCATTTGAGGCGTTGTATGGTAGACCTTGTAGGTCTTCTGTCTGTTGGACTGAGGTGGGCGAGACAACCACCTTAGGACCCAACATTGTACTCGAGACTACCGAGAAGATTAAGCTGATCAGACAGAGATTGCTTACAGCTCAGAGCCGACAGAAGAGTTATGCAGATAGGCGGAGACGACCGCTATCCTTTGAGGTGGGAGACCATGTTTTTCTTCGGGTTTCTCCAAGGAAGGGGTTGATGAGGTTCGGGAAGAGTGGCAAGTTGTCACCACGATTTATTGGACCTTTTGAGATCTTGGACCGCGTAGGAGAGGTTGCCTACAGACTAGCATTGCCACCACAGATGGACAGGGTTCATAATGTCTTTCATGTGTCGATGCTACGGAAGAATGAGCCAGATCCGTCTTATATTTTGAGTTGGGTTGATGTGGACATTGAAGAGGATGTTTCCTACGAAGAGGGACCAGTTCAGATTCTTGACACACAACAGAAGGTGTTGAGGAAAAAGACGATATCGTTGGTAAAGGTTCTTTGGAAGCATCATGGAGTTGAGGAGGCTACTTGGGAGCTCGAACAGGAGATTCGCTCTAAGTATCCAGAGTTGTTTTCTCCCTCAGGTATGGCCTAATTTGGGGGACGAAATCTTTTAAAGTTTGGAAGAATGTAGTGTTTATATATATAAGTTAAATAAATATTTATTTATTTACTTGTGGGGCCCGCATGAGTTTTAAGTCAATGACTTAAGAGTCATTGCATAGCCTTTTATTCTGCTCTCTCTCTCTCTCTCTGCGTCCAGACCCTCTCTCTCGGCAGTTTCTCCTTTTTCTTTTTTTTTTTTGCAATTTCAAGCTTTGATCTAGCTCTATCCCTTTGAAATTTGGTAGAACCTTGTGAAGCAAAGTTGGAGAGCTTGTCAAGGCCTTCAATTTGATAGGAGCCAATCATCATTTGGTACACTCTAGGGAGTTCAAAATTCTAGGGTTCTTGGGCTTGGATTTGGGGATTTTGGGAATTTTCACTTCCATTGAGGTAGGGGTGTTCTAATCTACAATTTCTTAATTTTTTTTTGTGAATTTTTCCCCTTAAATTTGATCCTATGCATGCTAATTTTGATTATCTAGTTTGTGGTTGAAGTATGTTTAATTAAAATGCTAAATGTGTTCCATGTGTTATTTGAATTCATATATATGACTAGATTTATTACGGTGATTGAGCAAGTTTGGTGTTGACATATTGTATGTCCTAAGATTATGTATTTTTTTTTTATTTATTTATTGCTTTGAAAGAAAATGATGCTATGGTCAATAAATAAATAAAAGAAATGATTGCTTAGAAATTTTTATAGATTTTTATTATTATTTTGGTATCCTTTTGGGTCGTTACACCAAATTTCTTGCAATTGAAACATTGAGGTTTTCCCTGAAACCAACAATTTTTGTCAACATGGCTACTTCTCTTGCAAATTCCACAATTTTGTTGAGTGGACTCTATATTTCCTCTTCTCTCAAAATTATTTCTTTCTCTTCCTCTTCCTCTTGAATTTCTTCCTCTTCCTCTTGAATTTCCGTGTCTTCCACCTCTAGAAGATTCACCTTTGGATCGATCAAAACTTGATGGGTATTTTTCTTGATTTTTGGAACTAACAGCTTGGATTGAAAAGCACTTTCAATTGTCTTTTCAAAGCGCCTACTCAACCTTTGCTCAAATGCTTTTATGGAACCCATCAATTCTTCAACACTCAAGTTTTCAAGCTCTTTAGTCTCTTCAATAACAACAACAATAGAGTCATATTTTTCCGGCAAACTAATTAGAATTTTTTCAACAATTCTTTGATTAGAAATATCTTCCCCATAGGTCTTCATTTAATTTACCACCTCCATAAATTTAGAAAAATAATCTTTCAACAACTCAATTTCTTTCATTTTCATATTTTCAAAATCTCTTCTCAAAGATTGGAGTTTTACAGTTCTTACCTTCGTGCTGCCTCTATACTCCTTCTCGAGAATATCCCATGCCTCTTTTGCTTTAGAAGCATTGATAATTCTGGGAAAGATTGTATCAGCAACTCCTTGTTGAATCAAGCCTAAAGCTTTTGCATCTTTCTTCTTATGATCTTTCAATTGTTGTCTTTGGACATTCGTCAAAGTTGTTGTATCCTCCGGTTCATCATACTCATCTTCAACATAATCCCATAAATCATATGAGAGAAAAATGGTCTTCATCTTCACATACCAAAAATCATAATTTTCCCCATCAAAAATGGGAAGTGCTGATTGATGGACACCTAGGTTTTGATTGCCTTTAGTCGCCATCACGATCGATCTTCTTCGGGTTTTGTTTTCCCGTCAATAAGCTTCACGCCCAGTTTGCTCTTGATCGAAATCAAGCTCTGATACCACTTATATTGGCTGTAATTTCAACCAACTAAATAATTTCTAAGTGAAGAGAGGAGAGAAACAAATATTGTATTGTATTGAATTCTTTGTTATGTTGATGTCTTAACAACAAATCCCTTACACTATATATACTATTCTCCCATAGACCTTTGAACTTTCCAAGATAATTCTCAACCACACATATGATGCATGCACTCACATGATACATGTACACACTTGATACATGTATCCACTTGATACATGTACAATAATAGATGCGTGAATGAACATATACATGAATGAACATGGCATTAATCTAATTTTAACATTTCAGCCTGGATTTGGCTTTCAGCAAGATTCATGGATGGATTTTGAGAATTAAATCTGCAAAATTTGGTTGATAAGGTGAAAGAATATCATCCCGCAAACAATTTATGACATAGAGAGCCACCATAGAGTCCAAATCAGATCGATCTCTATATATATCATCAAACATCAAATTTTCCTTCACATAGTCATTTATCATGAGATTGTTTTCCATTGGATCAAAATAAGCCCAAGTAACAAAATTTGTACAAAATTGCAACTGTATAGTTTTGTTCACCTAACATAAAAACATTTGAGAGTACAGTGAATTGCAATTCAATTGGCTTGCAAGATTGCCTGCTGAAGATATTTGAATGTTTTCTGATAATTTAAGAATCCCATAAACCAGAACTCAAAGTTATCCACAGTAACTATTTCCATGTACTTGCGCGATGGTTTCTTCACATTTTCGCTTTCAATGACTCTCTTGATCTTACTTAATGGGATCAGGACCTGCAAAGATACATATATGATGTATCAGTTAAGTATCATTTGAGAAGCTAGAAAACAAGTAGAAAATATAGATTTCAACAAGGAATATATACCTTGTAATGAATTCTAACTAATTCTCCATTTGGAGAAGAAACTTGGATTGATTTCTCACTGCGAAAGCCAATCTGCTCAGTGGAGATGAAAAGAGTTCCTGCTATAGGACCAGCTGTTGTTGATAAATAGCATTGGGAAGCCTTCAACAGCTTCTCTCCTTCTCTAACACTAAAATTCTTTTTGAATACTTTTTCCAAACCACCTACTTGAATGATTCTAGCCCCCAGTCTCAACTTCCCCTTCACAGTTTCCGTTATCTTGGGGCCTAATCTCACTGCAATTTTTACAAAAATATTAATATGAGACTATGTCAAAAACATATTATTACCATACTCAGTAGTTCTATGATAATACATAGGATAAATTCAATTCAGTTGGGAAGATGGATGAAAATGAAATGAAATTCATGATTTTATGGTTAGCAATACATATCCAAATTAATGAAATAGAAATACTAATTTGATGAAGCTTGCTAAACAGAAAAATTCTTGGACTTGATGGTTATTCTTGGTCTAAAATGAGATGAGCAAATATACTTACCATGTTCTCGAATGTCATTTGCAAAATTGTCTGCTTTCTCTCCAAGCTTGCTTATCCTATCAATCACCGACTCCAATCTACTCTGTTTAAATTTTTGAGACTGATTTGAAGGAGCAGAGCGAACATGGTACTGGCAAGCAGGTCCAGTTAGAAGTTTTTTTGATGACCTCTCAGCTGCACGGCGTGCTGCTGAGAAGATCATAAGTTGTGTGTCATGTTGTGGAAGCTGCAGGTTCTTCATAATCGATGTTTGGCTTAATGTCACACTTCTGTCTCTAAATTTCTTGCTGTTGCAATGCCAATGCCTACAGACTTGGTTACAATTCTTAATCAAGCCATTTGTTCTGCATATATTTATATAGGAAGAAGTTAGTTGGTGGATCTCAACTTTTTTGGTTGCATGAGTCATATATGGCTCATCAATAAGAATTAAAGGCATCAGATATATGTATGACCTTTTAAAAGAAACCTATTGAAGAAAAGTGTCTTGGAAAGAATAGTTCAAGTCTTCTTTCTTGAAAATTTCCAATGTGTAAGGATGCTGGATTTAATTAATGATGCATAAAGGAGATTGGAAATTGTTACTTAAAGGCATAGATATACTTATTAGAATTCTAAGCATGTTAGAAGTCAATGATAGAATTATCAAGTTACTCTAATTAATGTTTAATATTCAAATTTTCTTCTATTTTTGCAAGTAAATTGTTAATCCCTTTTTCTCTCAACCTTTCTTGCTTTCTGAGACAAAAGATGAGAAATCTTTGCCGCCCTTTGGTCTAAGCTTAGTCAGCTTTTCAATAATTCAATCTTAATAGGCACCTTATGTTGCCTCATTTTCTTATGGCTTGTGTGGGCATGAATCAGCGGGACTTTTGAGCTGGCATTTTAGCTTTCTTGTATCAGCATACTTATCAAAATACAATTAAAGAGAGGGAATTTGACACAAATTAATGTAATTGCAAGATGAATGACATACTATGAAGTGAATGACAATTTGTCATTAACTCACTATATGTCATATCTAGGAGATTGCATCACACCGTCATGCAATAAAAAGATTAGTAATCAATTCAAAATTTCATCAGTGTCTGAAGGCAACACATCAAAATCTTTGAAGTGTTTTTTTTTTTTTTTTTTCCCGATAAATAATTAAAATACCGAACAAAAAGGGTGTAACACGAGGACTTCGTACTACTCTCGCCCCAAGCACGCTTAACTGCAGACTTCTAATGGGAATCGTTGCATTAGTACTGTTATGATCGCATTCCTTCTAAAAATGCTGTTGGTGTTAGAAAGATCAAATCATACACGGATTGTGAATCACAAAAATATTTAAAATTTTAAAAATACAAGAAGTTACTAGGAATGTGATTTCTAGTTAAATTGTGAAGAGGAAGGAAGCTCCACCAAATGGAGACAGTGTTGACTCAAAAGTATTGCTTAATGGTATGGAAAAGAGAAAACCCTCACCTCACATGTGATCACAACTTGGTAGGACCAAATGCTCATGTGGAAACCTTCATCTTGAGGTGTAAAGGAATGGATTGTAGGCCAGACGAATTAAATATGTTTTTTTTCTTCTTCTTCTGTTTTTTTCAATTGTTTATCACATCAGCCCAATTCCCACGTATCCCTCCCTATCTCTTCCTATTCTCTCTTTTCTCTCCACTTAATCTACCCAAACACGCTATCACCGTATCCTTTATTTTCTTTTCTCTCCTTGTCCCTCCAAATCAACCCTACCAAACACACCCTAACAATCTTAGGCAGGGCTTGATATTGCACATTGAGTCATTGACACATGGTAAGAGAATCACCACATCATTTCCACATCAGCCCAATTCCCACATAAGATCAGATAAGATTTATAAAGCGTGACTGATTGCTCGGCTTTAGAAGTATTGCCCAACTACTAACTTTAGGATGATCCAATCAAACATAAAAGGTGAGGAGGAAATTCATGGTTCTAGGTTTGGTAAGTACCTGCTGTATCAGTGTACCAAGTCTATAGAGCGCAGAGCCACGTATGCATATATAAGCTATGTATATTTTCATGTGTAGATACAACTTTTTGTTTTGAAAGTTGGAAGGGGAGTGAGGTTCTGTACATCATGTGGTTCCGAGATCAAAAATGAGAAATAATCACTTTCACACGTGCGGATAAGACTGTATATATGTGATTCTCCTTACGTTCTGCATATCAAAAAGGAAAAATAATCACTTCACACTTACAAATAAGACTGCGTACATTTAACTCTCCTCACATTCTGCATATCAAAAAGGAGAAACAATCACTTCACGCATGCAGATTCTGACTCTCCTCACATTCTGCATATCAAAAAGAGGAAATAATCACTGCATACTTGCAAATAAGAATGTTTACATCTGACTCTCCTCACATTCTACAAATCAAAAAGGGGAAATAATCACTTCACATATGCAGATAAAAGTACGTACATGATATACATCTGACTCTCCTTATATTCTACATGTCAAAAAAGAGAAAACAATCACTTCACACTTGTAAATAAGATTACGTATATCTGACTCTCCTCATATCATGTAGCTTTCAAGGGGCCAAATGGGTGGTGAGAGATTTAACCCACTAAAATATACCCTATGGTCCCATAAGCTGGAATATCCTTTCAAGATGAGGACATTGACGAAACCCATGTTTTAGGTACTAAATGCATCAGATCGGGTCAATGGCACCTCATCCTTGCGTAGGAAACAAATTTCAACCACCAACTCCATTTGGTGCCAGTGGAGAACAAACTTGTCACCTACTCAATTTAAAATGAACAAGCAACATTTAAAAGAATTTTAAACAATTATGAATTATATTCTAATTTTATAAATATTTAATTCCGGTATACATAGAAAAAAAAAAAAAAAAATTGATTTCGTGCTAGTTTAACAAACAAAATTTCCTTTTAAAAACGGGAAATAGAAAAGAACGTGAAATAAACAGAGATGTTAGTTAATCATCGGATACACTGACGTGTAATGTTTTGCTTTTTAAAAATAAAAAATAAAAAATTGTAAAACTGGGTTCAACGAAACAATCTAACACTATGGCCATGTAATGTACAGAAAACTAAAAAATGAAAAATGGAAAGCAATATCTACAATGAACACAATGTTTAGATTTTATATTGCCAAGACTTTACTGTCAGATATTTGAGTCTGAAACAAGATTTCAGCAAGAACAGTATTAAATACTCAAATCATATTTTACTGAAAATATATATAATATATACATACATAACCCTGTGGAGTTCAGAGTAGACTTGAGGGAAAAAAAAAGGGGTGAAGGGAGGGAGAGAGTACCTATCTGAAATTTTAATATTGCTCTCCTCAAAACTATTAATATCAAATGTCAATATGCATGTTCTTAATAGCATCAACGACTTTCTCCATTTGCATTGCACGACTACCCTTCACTAAAACAACATCATAACAACTTAATCTTTTAAAAATCTCAAGCACTAGGTTTTCTGCATCATGAACACACAAGATATTTCTCTTTCCGACTAAATTCAAATTTTCAGCAGCTGTCAGAAACCTCTTCCCGACAAGGGCAACTAGATCAAAACGAGCTTCACAACAGTATCTTAGTGTCGTCTCATGAAACTTTTCTTCCGTTGGACCAAGTTCTAGCATGTCCCCAAGTACTGCAACTCTTTTACCTTTGCAACCAATGCCCTTAAGCAAGTCAATGGCAGCTTTGGTGCTAGCAGGATTTGCATTGTAAGCATCATTGATTATTTTGATACCATTCTTAGCAACTTCAAGCTCGGATCTCATGTGGACGGGAAAATATCGTGATAAGGATTTCCCAACTTGAGCCAGAGAAGCCCCCAACAAAGTTGCCACAGCTGCAGCTGCACATGCATTGAGAGCCAGATGCAGACCCGGACTGGAGATCACAAATTCCACACTGAAGAAGACACCACCATGCCATTTAGAAAAGAAAATTAATAACTTAATCTACTCCTAAGTGCAAAGAAAATGTTGTTATATGTAATCAGGTCTGTGCTTATATATATTGATGAAAACTGTCAATAGACTAATAATGCAAGATGAGTTATCTTAGAAAATTCCATAAGTAAACACAAAATTAATGGTCTAAATTTAGAGAAGATTACAGACTTGGGAACTTTGGGGCCTGGTCATGAGGAAAAACCATGAACTTCAGAAAAAGAATAATTCAACAGGAGTTTCAGAAAGGATTGCAGTCCAATTTTTAGAAACAAATTTCAGTAAATCAATGAACAAAAAGAAAGTGATATGCTATAATCTTTTTACTTTTATTATCAATAAGAATCAAACCATTAACATCACTCTTTCATTTAACATGTCATGTCAGCACTTAATGAGTGTGGTACAATAGTAATACATTTCATAATTAAATAATAACTCAATTATTCACAATATAACATATTTAATCCTTGAATTTTTGAACTTTCCAAGATATGAGCAGGTCGTTGCATACGATTAATTCTAGACTGCAACAGTTTTAGTTGTTCAAAATTGATTTAAGAAACCATTCAACTATGAGTCTATGACATTGCAATTATGTGAAGGTAACCAATCGATATTCAGATTGGTATTGTCTGAGTTTCAAGACTTCCATTCATAATGTGCATTTTCATCTTCAATCAAGATTAAAATCTCAATTTCATGGTCAAATTAATAAAACTATTATCTCAATTAAAATGGGTCCAAAATTGTCCAACTGCTGGGTTTACATTCATTTCAAATATTAATCAGGACCAAATTCACTACATGAGTTATCTATAAACAAAACCATCTTCTTGAGTTAGGAAGCAGACCAACACATCCGAAGTGTGAAAGAGAGAGTTTAAAGATTAATTGAAGTAATAAACAGAAAAATGCAAAGTTTGCTTTCCATTTACAAAAAATGCAGACAGATTCTTCTAGGAAAGGTGTAACAAAATATCACGTCTTGTAAGAAGATCATTCAGTGAGGAGGAAAAGATTTTTTAAATATTACATGTCCAAAAATGCAGATAATACATGTATTGAAAGAACTCACATCTCTTTATTTCTCTCTAAAACGACTTGAACTCCAAAACCTTTATCAGTGCATTTGGCCAGAACCAACCGAACATCACAACCCATTCTCCGACCAAATAGAACCTAAAGCCAGAAAATAAATTCACCATCTATTGAATATTTAAAACAATAAAAAGAAAGGACTCTTATGAGAATAACTTTTTCTCATATTTATATAAACCAAGCTGAGAAAGCAAGGAAGGTCATTTCCACCATTAAAAGAACAAGAAAACAGAAGGCATTCATGTAACTGAAATGAGAATGTTGGGATGGATGTTAAGGAGTGCGCAGAAGAGATACTAAATCGTGATTTTTTGTTTGTAAAATATACTCCAAATCGTGAAATACTAAATTATAAATATTATAGAAGGTTAGAGATACTTGGAGTGCATTAGGATTGAGGCACTCAAAACAAGGGAAAGGAAAGGAGAAGAGAGGAGAGGTTCATTGCTTCATATTTAGTGTAAAAGTCTAAAAGATAAGCAGGGAAAAAGAAAAAGGTGGAGGTGGTGGTGGTGGTGATGGTGGTAACACTATCATTTTTTTTCTTTTTCTCTACTAATTCCTGTGATGCTTCCCTTTCCTTTCCCTCCTGTTTATCCAAGCACGCTGTAAAAACAAGAATTAAGGGCCAAAACTGGTATAACTTAAAATTTGTCATTAGGATTATTTCTTTTTATGAATTGTCACATTGTTTATATCTGTCTTGAATGGTGGCATGAATAAGAGTCACGTTGGTGTCCAAGGGTCCAGTACTGCTAGAACTCCTATTTCGAAGGTAGCACATTCAGATGGTATTGCCTTAATCAAATAACAAATAAAGATTTAACTTTCAAGTAAACTGAAAATGAAGTACCAATAAAATTGGGATCTCTAAAACATAAGTTGAACCAACTTTTCCTATGTTATAGATCTCAATTTATAAATACTTTATCTTCAATTAACTGAAAGTTAATGTTTTTACTTTACTAACAATGTGGCAGGTTTTAGCCAAACTACATGATACACTAGTACAAGATGGCACTAAATTCAAAAAATAAATCACAGTAACAATTGAATCATAGACTCACTAACCTTCTTAACTCCAACTGGAACAGGAAGGCTCATAACAAGAGGATCATCAGCATTCAAAACACACACATCCCCGGGCTTCGCCTCAGCTAAAATCTCACCTTTCGCCATTGAAACCTCTTGTAAACTCGAAAAGTTCTCCAAATGTGAAGCACCCACATTCAAAATCACTCTAATCGACGGCCTGCACATCCTTGCAAGCTCCAAAATCTCTCCTTTCCCACTTATTCCCAGCTCCAGAACCACAAACCTCGCATTCTGAGGAATCCCAATTAAAGACAAAGCCACTCCAATCTGATTGTTCCAATTCCCGGGAGACTGGTGAACCGGGCCGAGGCATTCAAGAGCCAATGCTGTCATTGCTCTTGTAGTTGTCTTACCTACACTTCCTGTTAAGCCTATCAAACAATCACCAAACCTGTTCCTCGCATACATTGCCATATTCTCCAACGAAATCAAGGTACTACCATGAACTTGTACAAAACCCTTGTCCCACTTCTCGCAAACCCTGTTACCAATGACTCCAACGCATCCCTTGGTGTACAATTCAGGGGTTATGAAGTGGTGGGCATCGAAGTTTTTGCCAGAAATTGGGAAGAACCATTGGCCAGGTTTGAGAGTTCTGGTATCTGTAGAGATGGTTCCTGGAGGACCCCATTTTAGAGTTGTGCCATTCACAGCTTCGGCTATCTCAGAGACAGTCCAAATCGGTGAATTGGTCGAATAGTTGTTGTTGTTGTTGTTGTTGCTAAGATTGAAGATGTTATTGGTAGTGAAAACCCTAACCCTAACCCCTGTTGGAGGATGCATAGTGAAAAAGGTAGGTGACCTGGAGGTTGTGAGTTGCTGAGGAAAGTGAATAGGCGTTGCAGCCATTGATTTTTCATAACCCAATTGGATTTGGGATGCAATGTACCAGATTGAATTGGAATGCTCAATGCTGATACAGTGTGTGTGTGTGTGTGTGTGTGAGAGAGAGAGAGAGAGAGAGAGTAGAGACTCGTTTCAGGGGTTCAGAGAGATGACTCCTATTGTTTATTCCCTCTACTTCTCCATTTGAGAAACTCAATGAAGTAACTGGGCCACTGGGGCTGTGTTTGGCACGACAATAAACGTAAGGATAACATTAATTACGACAAAAATAAATAAAAAATAAAAAATAATACTGTAATAATCTCTTATCATGTTTAGTTAATTAATAAATAAAAAGAAAAAGAGTGATAAATTAAACACTAATGTTGTTTGGAGGAAGTAAGAAAAAAGAAAATAAAACTATTTTAAAATTTTACTATTAGACCTTTTCATATTTGAAGGACAAATATATATAAAAGAAATGATAAGCAAATTTAATGTTTATGCATAACACTATTCAAAGTCGAAGTGATAATTTTAAAAACAAAGAAATGATTAAAAAAAAAAAAATCCTAAAGACTCGTATGGTATTTTGATTGTTTTTATAGACAAAATTGATATTAAATTATTTTTATTAAACTTTGTAGTTCTTTTCTTTTATTTCCTCTCATTTTTTAAGGATAATAAAACCTACAAATCATGTATAATTTCTATCCCTCCACGTCCCTCTATTTATTTATTTTTTCTTATATCATTTTCATTCTTTACTTTTCTTTTTCCTTTTATTTCTTTCCGATAAAAAAAAAAAGAGAAAAAGTTTACCAGAATTAACATGAGACGAACTTATTAGAAATGGACTTTAAAAGTTAAATATTATAAAGAAGTTTGCTCGTAACATAAAAGAATAGAATAAAAAAGAGAATTTGTGTCCAGATATGAATAGTTTTATTGCATTAGAAAAGACTATACATAAAAAAGAGAATTTGTGTCAAGATATATGAATAGACACTAGATAGCTATATTATGACCATACTACGAACATCCCCTATTTAGTGAATTATGTTGGAGCAAGGTTAACGGTTCGAGTGTATAAAAAGGCGTTTAATTTGCATAGAAAGTAAGAAACAAAAAGAATTTAACGAAACTAACATGAGAAAAATTAAACGTTGTAGGAAATTGACTTTTAATAGAAAAGAACATAATGAAAAAGGTGAATTTGTGTCAACTCCATTTATGCGAGATTAAGATAGTAGTAATGATGATGAATAAAATTTGTGCAATAAAATCATCTGGCAAGCCGAAGAAAGCACCATTACTGCCATAGAGACATAGATAGCTGTTAAATTGCATGTTCAAAAGGAAAAACATTTCAACAAATTTTTGAAGGAGAGAAGTGTCGTCTGCAATCAATATTAAGATAACCCACCAACGGAGTTGATAACCCTAAAAACAAAAACAAAAAACAAAACAAAAACAAAAAACAAAAACAAGAAGAAGAAGAACACCACCTATCATCCCAGATCACCTATAATTAAGTTGTCAATTAAGTCACCTATTATCCCAGTAAATGAAAAAAACCGATACTCTGAGGATTATTTAAACAACTCATAGCACCTACAAAAAAAAAAGAAGAAGAAGAAAGATCAAGAGCTCTTTACAACTATTGCCAAAAGATTACTTCAACAAATGAAATGTATATAGAACCAAAAGAAATTAGAATCTGTCCTACCCCTAAACAGTGCCACATCACCCGTGGCTGCCTATACAGATGCATGCAGTTTCTCCTATGGCTTATTCAAATTTGATGAGAGAATTTGGATGTGCGTCTCATAGGCAGCTTCAGTCTACACATAAGCAACATTATTCTGGTTCAAGTTGAGGATAACACCCAATAATACCCAATGAACATGAGCTGTATAGTCTTTTGGCCTGCAAATACACGGCGCATTACCTATGGGCAGATGTGTGTGACATTGGATATGCCATGGAACCCATGTTCACCGGGGCACCGGAAACCATTGCTCCTGGATATGGAGCTCCAACACCATATGCCAAGTGTGCTGGTGGAGGAAGATTCACTGGTGTGCCAACTGCTGGTCCTCCTATTGGTTGCCCTATACTCGTTCCACCATACATGCCGAGAGCAGTTGGCCCTTGAGGAGACTGCTTGTTTGATTTGCTAGACGAACCTCCCGCAGCAGAACCATTTGTTTGACCAGTAATTGGTCCTTGGGGCACCGAAATGTCCTCACCACTAATACTGGTGATATCGTGAATGCTTGATCGCCTTCTATCCTTATTCATAGAATTTAAACGAATGAAGTACTTCTGTGCATGGCTCGCCACTTGCGTAGGTGTTCTCGTCACCACAAAATGTCGGGATATACTTCGCCAATCACCTTTCCCATATTTTTCCAAACCGAGAAGAAATAACCTGCATTGTCGAAGGATAGAAACAATTTACAATTAAAAAAGAAAATAAGAAAAAAGAAGGAAGAACTCTATGACACTCTTAAGAGCAATTAAAACACCCTGACAAAAAAAAAAAAAGGAAGCATTTAAAACAGAGCAAGTATATGCAGTACTGGATGAAAACATAAAAAAGTGGATGACATTTAGCATCCACAAAGATTGCATTCCTTTTTCTTCTAAGTAATAAACGTGAACTGATCCAAGAACAGGCATATAATGACATAAAAGACAGCACTAGCAGTGTGCTGCTAATATTTCAAGTCAGATTATTACCTATTGGTAAAGCCAAAGAGGGTACTTAGTGGTCCCTGAGGCATTGGGAGGGATGGACTGGATAAAGAACCTTTGACATTAGTTGCACAAAATGACTACCTTCAGGATTCGAACCCGCATGCTCAAACATTTTTATAGTGCATCAAGCAATGACCCTATCGTACGTTTTTTTTTTTTGGGTCAGATGATGTCAGTACAAACTATCATGCATTGATGATGCATCCTTGTTGTAGCTTGTAGTCGATCTTACTACAAGTGTTCCAAAGAACCTCCGGAGACTTTTACATAAATAGGGTGAAAAAACCACTTGTCAAATTAAGTATGTTATCTCCAAATAAAGAGAAAACAATGAACAAACGATAACAACAAAAGAATATCGTGCAGAAACTTTTCAGAAAGTAAGCTTACCTGGATACTAACTTAACCTAACCAAAAACTTATAATCTACCAAGTAGATTATTTAATGTAATAAAAGTGTCTGAACAACCAAGTGACCATTATAAGCTCAAAGAAATCAAAATTAGTTGCAATTGAAGAGAACGGAATAATTAGGAGAGAAAGGTGATAAAATGGTGGTGACGTACTTTTCTTATTTCCCTCTTCTATAAGGGAGAACCAAGTTTCTTCTGAAGGTCTTTTAAAGACACCCTAGTAGGGGGATAGCTTAAGTTATCTACTAAGGACTTCTCTTACAGTGGATACTATCATAACCCTTACCCCTCTTCTTCCAGCTCTGATACACCTCCGGAGGCTATTAGGGGGGTGACATTTCTAAATCAAGTTTTAATGGCTTTAACCAATCCTAGTGACTAATATCTCAAATCCTCGGCAGCCGAATCCAATAGGGGCAGCAACTACAGAATCCATTCTTGCCTTCATGAACCTAATAATCCGACAATTTTCCCCGTATGGTGTTACCGTTGCAGTGTAGTTTTAGAATACCTACCATCCTCCCCACCGTTTTTGCAGGAGACTGATTTTGTGTCTTTTGACTAGGAGGCAACGGCTGTAGTATCACAAGTCCCACCACGTAGGGTGCAGACAGCCACCAACTTACATCCATTAATGACAGCCGTCTTGTACTGATAGGTTTGTTAAAGAACATATCTAAGCGAATAAAAAAGGTAAGAAATCATTTGGAGAAGTCGCGAAGCTCTAAGAAGAGAAGTAGAAGAACAAAGAATAAGAGTAGGAAAGAGGATAAGAAAGAGAAAGGGGATAGATATAGGAATATAGAGAATGTAATGTTTTTGATTTTGATATATATATATATATTGTGGAGAGAAAAATTAAAGAAAAGTCAAAGTGGAAGTGGGACCTACCACTAATGCACTTAAAGGCTTAAGGCCACATTTTTTTTTTTTAGTTTCATTTCCTCTCTCCCGGCAGTGCACTCTTTTCCTCTCTTTTCTTCTCTTTTTCTTTTTTCCTTTCTCCACAATTTCAAGCTTCAATTCCTCCCTCATTTGTGGGAATTTTTGGGTGCCATTTGCAACAAATCGAAGAGCTCAGCCTCAGCGAGATCTTCACGTCTGCACAAACAATTTCAACTTTTGGCCTCCCCTAGGATTTCGAATTTGAGACCCATTTTGAGGGTTTTTCTACAAATTTGAGGTAGGGGTGTTCTAATGCATAAATTCTTGTACTTTTGTGAGTTTTCTTTCTTAATTTGATGTTAAGCATGCTCAATTTGTATAATCTTTGCAAGGATTGTTTAGATGTTGGATATGGAACACATGACTACTTGTTAATTGTTGTGTAGAGATTATATATTCCTACATGAAGTTATATTCATGTCTTAAATGCTTACCATGTTAAATTGATGATTGATTGAAAGCATGAGTTATGTGTTTTAGAAATTTATGTGGGGTAGTATGTGTAAAAAAATTTATTGTTTTTTTTTTCTTTGATAAGTAAGAATTTATTGAAAACACTCAAAAGATGAGCGGAACCCAAAGAAACACAAGGGCCAAAAGGCGCCTCAAACCTTCAAAGAAGCCAAAAAAACAATAATCTCCTCAATAGATCTACAATCTCTCCCTGAGACCCAACAAAAAAGAGTGGAAATAATAAAGAACTTAAAATTTTATTGTTAAGTTAATGATTTGAAACATGGAACATTCTTGCATCCATCGGGAAGAGAAAAGGGAAAAATATTTTCAATACAAATGAAATAAATTTTTGGAAAAGTATTTCTAAAAGTGTTTGCGAAAACCGAACGCCTAAGAGGTGCCTAGTGGTCCATGTTGTTAGTGTAGTCTAAAAGGGAGTATGGTTGAGCTAACTAGGCCGGATGCGACGCCTTGGAGGTGCCTTGTGGTTGTGGATAGTTAGTCAACCCTCCATTCGTGATGCCTTGGAGGTGCTTTGGGTCGGATTACACTAACGGTTTGGAAGTTGAAACGAAAATGTTTCGGAAATGGGGAACGACATTTGCATAACATTGCACTTCATGACATTGTGGGAAATTTGTGATTGGTTGACATTTGCTACACACTTATTGTTGTGGTTGAGAATATGTACTCCCATGGTATGACCCCGTTCCTTTTTATCCATTCTTTGTGTGAAATTTACGGGGATATAAGAAGTGTGTCTTAGACGCTTCATACTGAGCTTATGTTCACCCCATTATTTTTAACATTTTTCAGGATACGAAAAAGAGGTGGCGGACGACGATCCACCACAAGTTTAGACGAGATTGGAGATATATTTTATTTGGCTATCTTTTGTATTAGAACTCTAATAGTTTATAAATTTAATCTTAACTATTTTATGAAACTTTAGTTTAATTGGTATAATATTGTAAGCTATGGATTTTTAAATTTTAGTTACATTTATGGACTGTAACTTGATGTAACTAAGGTGTGTTCCTTGTTGGATGAGATGGAGGAACGGGACATTTTATATGAATGTAATCATTTTGGGAATGTTATATAATAATTGTATTGTGCGTTGGGACAGGATAGGTTACTTTTAAGCTCAGTGAGGCCATTGTATTTTTTTATATATTTCAACAGGTTGTAGAGGGACTTTTTTTGCGAAGGTCATGCCGAAATTTTATATTTTTTATTATTATTATTTTGGTATCTTTTTGGGTCGTTACAAATTTGGTATCAGAGCATTTTCTTAAAATTTTTGGGGCGTGACAAAATGGTATCAGAGCATTTTGTTAGAATTTTCGGGTCGTGACATAATGGTATCAGAGCATTTTGTTAGAATTTTCGGGTCGTGACAAAATGGTATCAGAGCATTTTGTTAGAATTTTCGGGTTGTGACAGAGAAGAAGAGAAAAGATATGTACATATATATATATATATGGAGAGAGAGAGCAATAAAAGAGGGGATAACCACCAATCACCATGAAAGCGCCTTTCACTTTCAAGTAAGCGAAGCGAGGAGACCAAAGCTAAAAGCAAGTAAAGCCACATATAGGACATGCCCCTACTGAATTAGTTGACCTTTCTCCAAATGATTCCATTCATGATTCAAGGGATAGGTAAATACCTGGTCAACTGTTCTGGTCAGCTGGCATTCGTCCAATTTATTAGCATCCTCTTCAAGGAGACATAACAAGATATATACAGCAAACTCTATAAATGTTATGTTCCTAATCATCGATTTCTTAGTTATGTATCACCATCTAATGTTATCCTAAATTCCACATTGCTGAGTCATTTAAATTTCCATGTGTATTACATGTGACTACTTGATTATGACTTTTGTGGAAGTGGAAACACCCCCACATTATAAGATATAAATAAACCGACATAATATGACTAAAGATAATAAAATTAAAAGTAAAATAAAATTTAAAAAATAAAAATAAATATGTCCTAATTAGTAAGATAGATCAGTAGGCTATAGTAACTCAGATTTGGTTTTTCCCCTGCATATATCTATAATATTGTCCAATAATTTTTTACACAGATTTAAAATTCCAATCAAGTCTGGGAGCATGATCCAAACATCCATAACTATTTTGGAGTTGAACTAAAAAGAAAATCAAGAAAGAAATTGGGGAAAGGCGGACCACTCCACAAAAGATCAGACCATAACATGATACTTGACTGTCTCGCGGAAAGGATGAATCAATCAGGAGATGAAGTTTTAACATCCCTTCTCACATTTGCTTACAATATAAAATGCTAGAAAGACTCGTTCCTCTGGCAATTTCTTCAGCCACACACTGATTTGCATAAAAGGCCAAAAGTGTTCTCTTCCAAAGATCCCATTTCCAGTGTTGTAACAATGTTTCTCTGTTGTCTCTTATAATATACTTTGGGCACATTGTAAAGATCCCAAGTGAATTCTTGCCATCTGAGTAATATAATTCATTTATTTAAAATGACTTCCAGTATTTAGCACCTCAAAGCCCTTTAGGAAATGTTGTCAGGAACAAATGAGTGTAGAAGCCCTAGGAATGAGGAAGAATTTTTGACTTAGCCACAAAAGGCAGTACCCAGCAGAAAGGCAATAGCTTCAAGGAGATCTATATCCAGTGCATGGGTCTTAAGGCTACCACAATCAGAACCATCCTCTCCATTGCATCTTATTAGAACTGACGTATTAACAACTACAGTTCAAACACTCCTTGCTTCCATAAAGTACCAGGGGCAAGTGACTTTACCTTAGATCAGTCTTTAAATTTCCCAACCAAGAAGGGAAAAAAATTAAAAGAAAGGTCAGTCCTCTTTGTGCACTCCATCCCCATGCTTTTGATTGTTATTAAAAGCCTCTTTTCCGGCCATAATTTTAAGTGAAGTAAAGATGACATTTTCTTTTGCATCTTCAACTGGCAATGTCAATTCAATTCCACATGTCTACGTTCTCTTGTTCTTATAAGTAATTCCACATGTCCATATTGGTGCAGAATGAACATCAGATATGACAACTCTTATTCAAGATGTCATATTGGACTACTGTTTTTTCATTAAGAACTTGGGGAATAATTTAATCACTATTAGTTTGCATTAAGGCCACCATAAAAGATGCTTGCTCTATTTACCCACACAAACAAGCTTTGGAGCTAGTTTTGTTGGCTTGATCAACACTAAGGCTACGTTTGTTTGAGCATAAAATATTTTCTGTGTTTTCTGGTGTTTGGTTGTCATAATATACTTATGAAGAAAAAAAAAAATATTAAAACCTAACAAAAATAACTTATTCATCAATTATCGGCAAACTATTTTATACGCCCCACCCGACGGACTCGGCCTAGACCTTTGCCATATACTAAATAAAAATAAAAGAAAATATTTTACCTGAAAAAAGAAAATATTTTCCAAGGAAACTATTTTACGTCGAAACAAACGGAGCCTAATAGCTTAATCTTTTACAAAATTTGATACTTTACATGGTACCAGAGCATGTAAGTTCGTAGGCTCGAATCTCACCATCCCATAAATTATGATGCTGCACATGTTAGCCCCACTAATTGGGGATAGTTTGGCATTACATGACAGGACATATTAGAAAACATTAAGTAGTAAAGTTAAACACTCTATAAGAACTTAAACTTTAAAGAGTTGGTGTTAGAGGAGGAAACTTTAATGAAGGAACAAAACATGGGAAGTTGGAAAAATGCAGGTGGAGAAACTTAACCCAAGAACTCCTACAACTAAGTCTTTGATATCCTGATAGACTACCAGTTACGCAAAATCTTAAACTTTAGAAAGAGTTGCTTTATTTAACAATTCAACATCACTCATGGTGTAGAATATCCGTCCTTTGCATCCACGGCTGCTTCCATATTCAAACAACAAAATAGCTGGTTTTCGTTGATGCAAACCGCTCTCTCCCTCCTCCTCTTGTAAAATCCTTCATTCAAACTAAACAGGTTACGACCTAGGAGTATAGGACTAGGGTTGGACATACAGATGAAACGGGATTGAAACCCTTAGTACATGTATATTGTCAGAATGAGTTAAAGTTCTATACCACCTAAATCTGGCAAAATTTCCCTTTTCGGCTAGTAAAAGTTATTTGGTATGCACCATGTGTCCTTTTCAATTAATATATCCTCTTAAATTAAGATGTTGATTCTATAATTATCCCTATCAAAAATAAGCTTGAAATATGTATCGATGCAATAAGCTGCAATTCAGGGTATGGTTCTCTGACATTAAAATGGGGGAGAAATGTAGAAGCATATGAATAACTAAATAAAACATCAATAATAGAAGTGTATGGCTTTGTTAGTCAACTTTATTTCAAGCTTTAGCTTCTGCACTAAAATTACTATGAGCTTAAGCCACAGTTAGCTTGGGAACAATATATCTGCTAAAAGGAAATCTATAACGACACTTGAAAACACAAGAATCCAAACACATGGCAATAATGACCAAAACAGCAATCGGCAAAAGTTATGATAAAACTTGACCATAGCCAACAAAGCTGGAACCAAGCAAGAGAGTCACTAGCAAAATCTAGCAGCAGCAACCATTAAAAAGAAACCTTTCATATTATTTCTTTCATCATCTTAAGAAGAATGAATTATATCATGCAGCATATCTGTGTAGCAATGAGAAATTGCTTTTGGCTTTTATTGCTGGATTAAGGTGCGTTTGACAAATGAGATTCAGGCTTAATTTTGGAGATCCAGCACCTTAAAATATTTCATTCTTCGAGGTTGCCAAGCCATTGTCGTCGTAATCACCTTTTCTTTATCACATATGAATGGGATCAACCATATGAATTCTATTTTCCCATTCTATTCTATTACGCACCATTTATTCTCTGATATTTTGTTTTTTAAATTCATTTCTAATTACTTAATCACAATTTAGTTTTGGTTAGCTTTGTTACGTCTTACCTTCTATGAGAAGTAATCTTCCTTTTCTCACTGGTGCTTCAGTGGGGCTACGTTGTATGTGTCTATACCGCTTAAGTCTGTTTTCACTTATTTTGTCACTAATAGCTGATTCCTAATATCTATCACACTTTAATTAGTAAACCTATCTCTTCTAGCCAGTCCTATCATCCATCTCATCATTCTCATTTTAGCTACATGAATACCTTTTTCTTGTTTCTTTTTAAATGCCCAGAATTGAACCCCATATAAGAAAGATAGCCTAATAACCATCCTATAAAATTTTCGTTTTTAACTTATTTGATATTTTTTTCACATAAAATACCAATAGCATGTCTCCATTTTCTCCATCCTAATCCAATCCAACTGGTAATATGATCATCTATCTCCCCGTTTTTTGTATTATTGATCATGTGTATCAATAATAATTATTATGAGTAATCCTTCGATCATGAATTGTTATTGTTGCATTATCACTTTCTAAGGCTTAAATGAATTTACAATTTTCAAACTATGTACAGATAGTTCCATCCGTTCAGATGTCCTCTTTCTCTTGAATCAAGGATACCACATGAGACTAAGGTAACATATTACACTTTCTTGATGCTGTACCTAGGGCAACCTCCTCTAACTCCACGCATAGTCCACACATCCCCAAACAAGGAAAACATAAGGCCCCAAAGCTCTTCCACCACATTATAATGCAACAGAAATGATTATGATCCAACAGAAATGACTCCTTGTCATTCCCTTTGCTCATACAACACTAGTCAACCATCCTATGACCTATTTGCCCCACATTGTTAATATAAAGAGTAGCATCTGGAGAAGCCATCCACACCAAAAAGGCACCTTAGAAGAGAACACCGCCACTGTTCTCCTGGACAGTGGCAGATAGAATGATCGACCAATGAACACCCCACTTCTAGACGTTTTTCCATCTAATTCTAAATTCTGATCAAATCCTGTATCTCTCCTAAAACCTGAGACTCCTGGAGCATCAACGTGAAAGCTACCAAATCCAGTTTCCAGCCCTAGAAATTTCCCGAAAACCACTAATCCCCATTGAGGAAACCAATACAATTAATTTGACGGCCAGAACGTTGTGTTCCAGACAGTTACAATTGTCATGATAGAGGTATTTAAGATCCACGTTCCCTCCCCTTTTCCCCTGGTGTAAATATTCAAAATCATATCATTGACTATGACCGCAACCCTGAGAATAAAATGTTTTCTACAGACTGCAGATAAAAGTTACAGTACAACACTAAACCAAATTAGGCTAGACGGCAGTCCAGTAGCGTAATGACACAAACAGTAACCACATGCAGACTCCTGCTTGGAGCACATCTTTTGTTCTTTCCACTGCTTGAAGTGATTGTTACGACCACGAAGAAACGACAAATCCCAACCACAACAGAACTACCAAGGATGAAAAAAAGGAGGCCAGACTCAAACTGTGCTAAAACACATGTTGGAAAGCATGACCTAGAAATAATTTTAGAACAAGTAGAATCTATGAGAGAATAAGGACTCAAATAGTAACCAAATAATAGATAGAATCTTCCTTTTCTCACTCACACATGACAAACAAACAAACAAGGGACAAGATTCTATTGCAGGTGCAATGATTTCTCTTCCAATGATAAACATTCAATCCACATTATTATCACTTGAATCAAACCAAATTGTTAGATCATACTAGGGATTTGGCAAAAGCATTCAGCAGCCATACTATGAAGAGGGACGTCGTGCAGAAAATCACCATTTAATGCAACTTAAAAGCCATAATCACTAACCATTTAATTGTTTCGAAAAGCACAGACTAATATATATATGCACACACGAATTTACACATAAACGAAGTTGTAATTCTAAACCAATTCTTATGACAAGAATCCATAAGTAACACCTTTAGAAAATAAAGAAAGATATCAACCAACAACCTCAGAGCATACTATATTTTTATCAAGTTGAAACAGGATCCATTAATCACTAATGTAAAGAGGTGGCATCCATGTTTTTTTTTGATAAGTAATAATAAATTAAAAAGGCGTTCAATAGGGGAACGCGTCCCGTAAGGTGGCATCCATATTTAAAAAGGAATTGCAATGATAAAGAACTCACTTGTGCTCTTCCTCTGTCCAAGCAATCCCTTTGCGGCGCTCCTGATCTGACCTTGAAGTCTTGCCTCCATGATTGGAATCACTATTCAATTGCCCAGAATGCCCACTCTTCTTACCAGTTCCTTCATCACCAGCATGACTTGTCGAACCGTCAGAGGAGGAATTATAGGGAGGCAGAGGTACACAGCCAGAATCGATCCGGTTAACATCATCAACTAAGAGCTCATAGTGATCCTTAATCTCTTCCAAAGATTTCCCTGGAACATCCGCGGCTATTTTCTCCCACCGATTAGAAGAATCCTCCGGATAAGTTGCCAAGGCATTCTCAAATGCCTTATCCTGGTCTCTACTCCACGCGGAGCTATCGTCCGATTTATCAGCTGACATTTACACTTGCTAGAGGTGTTATGGTGTGCTTCAGCAACAGGAAGAACCCGAAAATGAACCTACAAGAGTACTCCAAATTCTAACCTAAAATACCCATTTCCATGGCCATGGAATTCTACATAATAATTCTAGAAATTGGGATCTGAACAATTTCTACAAAAGAGGTGACTGGTTAATTTGTAGGCTAAAATTATGGGAAGCAGATTTGTCAGACCAGAGAGCTAGTAAGAACAGAAAGAGACAGACACCAAAAGTAGCCAAGTGAGCTGCACCTTCAGATAAGTATCACAAAAATAAACCAGAGGACAACAAATGATGAAATTCAATGAAGATTTACAACCCCAATTCAAAAACTGGATACTTGTGAAATGCAGACCGTATTTATGAAGAAAAGCAACTAGTTCAGTGAGAACATGGGAAATATCTGAAACCCATAAAATCAAAAGATGCAGTAAAATGGGAGTTTGGAACAAGAAATGAACCAAAAATTTAAGGCGACGGTGAATTCAATTCAATTCACAATTAGGGTTTTTTGGATTGTGAGATGCAAAAGAGAGCACAATGAAACCAAACAAGGAAGAAAGACACAGCAGTCTTGATTGGATAAAAAGAGTACTCGAATTACCATTTCTGATTCCAACAAAAACCCAATAAGTTAAAACCAAAAGTCCTCATTGATAACAACAGTTATGACAGCACAGGCCCACAGAAACCATTTTTTCTACCAAACTTTTTTGTACTGAGCCCTCTATTTGCTCTCTTCTGCAAATTAACCAGACAGTGAAAACAGCAACACCTAACATCAACAAAACATCAATAAACAACAATCAATTGCAGTAAAAATTCAATTTTTCTTATACCCAAAAAATGTAAAAGACTGTAATACAACCAAATATATCTTACCTTTGGGGTCAGCTTCATACAATAATCGTCCAAAAATTTTGAAATGTCTTCAGAAATTAACCAAAATCTCTGAAACTTTCTTTCAAAATTTGAAATTTTAATCCCACCAATGAGATTTTGGTTTCCAACTACAATGGACAGAAGTGAAAACCCATCTCAATAAACCCCTCGTCCTTCTCAATGAACGAAACCGCACAAGTGAATAAAGCTTCTATCATCGTAATAAACGAATGCCCTTTTTTTTTTCTTTTTTCTTTTTTTGTCTTCTTCTTCTTTTTTCCGAAATTCAAGCAATGGCCCACTTTTTCTCAGTACACAGAAAGTCAAAACAAGTGTTCTCTATTTTGTCAATAGAGCTATATTAAAAGAGTGTCACTGATTTCTTTATTTTTTATTATAAAAAAAAAAAGGTTGAGGACTGATTTTAGAGCTTGAAATTTCTATAATGGGTTAAGAGTCAGTTTGGATAAAAGTAATAGTAAAAAAAAAAGTGAAGTAAATTTTTATTATAGAAATATTTTTTAAAAATATAAATTACTATTTTATACAAGTAGCGTGAAATGCGTGAAACTTAAGTTTTTATAAAAATTGAAATAAAATTACAAAATTAATTTTAAGAGAATCGACTATTGTGAAAATTTCATTTTCCTAATATCCGAATTTATTAAATGTTTTTTTAAAAAAAAAATCATTCTTTCTTACTTTATATATTGTGTTAAAAATTTCTGACTGACTTAAAAGTAGTTTTTTACTTACTAAATATAAATATATATATATATATTGTAGGTGGAAAATAAGGATTTTGCTAATCATTTCTTATTTTTAGAATTTTGATTGGGCTGTGCTAGAATTTCAGAATGATTATTCATAATTATTATAATTTTGCAGGGTGAGCCTTTATGAAAAAATGAACTTTCTACAAATAGCAACCTAATTGTATTAGGCAAGTCCATTTTCAGCTCCATCCAAAATAGAAAATGTTCTGCATTAAAATTATAGAAATTTTTGTTGTAAATCAAATTTTTCTGTAAACGAACAAACATTAAAATTATAGAAAGTTTTTATTTTGAATTTTGTTTTTTGTCAAAATGTTTAAAATGAATTATTTAAGGAAAAATTCTCTGTAATAATTCTTTTAGACAGCGCAGCAGATAAACATTACTTTAGCTAATTCAGTGAAATTTGGATATGATATAGTCAAATTGGTTATAAAGAGGTTCCCAGTGGACCCATCTCAATTTGTCATATTTACAATTGACACGCATCAATTTAATATTCAAAATAAATGCACAAACAAAGTAAATACCAAAAATATAACTTTCAATAATAAAAAACCAAATCTAGCCCATAAATAATTAATGTTTTCAAACATTAATCAATAACTTAATTAGTAACGTGTTCACGAACTACACCGGTATTCGATCTCAGAAATTACGGTCGGAATATCCCCTGAGACGACCTAGCATTCTAAGTGCTGGGCTTAATAGTGAAATGAGGGGTTCGATTTGGGTTGGGTTCTCGAATGGCTCGGTTTTGGACTAGTATCATGGCCTTCTTGGACATGTAATTTAGGTTCACGTTTGTGAGCTTTAAGGGGCTCATGCGAGTGTGGGTTTGCTTTATCTTTGTTGCTTGAGAGTGATTCCTAAAGAATTGGGCTTTGGAATCTAAGATCATTTAAAATGTGATACAAAAACTACAAGCCTCTACTCTCTTTTCTTTTCATTCCTTTTTAATTTATATATATATATATATATATATATAATAGGACATAAAAAACAAGGGTCTTATGATAAATAAAAAAACTTTAAAAATTTGAAAACATGGTTCAAAAGGTAATAATTGTTTGTGTCACACATAAAAACTCTAATCTTGTTAGCCTACATTAAACTAGACCAATGTATGTGAGAGTCCTAAATCTACATCTATAGGATATTTTTTATTTTTATCCACACATTTTTATTACATAATTAATCACATATTTAATATCTTTCAATTTCTATTGGGCTGTTGTTTATTTACTTGTATATTAATAAAATTAATTTAAATAAGTTTTCATACTAAGAGTTTCTCTTAGAAAAATAAGGTTTTAAAAACAATGTTTCAATTTGAAATCTAGTAATATTTCCTCTACGTACTTTTCAAAGTGGACAGTGAGGGTTCAAGTTCTTCCATAACTTGCCAAGAGATAAATTAATTAATTAATTAAAAATTATCCTAAAAATAAAAATAAAAATAAAAAAAGTAGTCTTTTTCCATACTCAAGAGTTGAACTGACGTAGAAATACAAGAATTTTAGCTAGAGAATCATTAAAGGAAAACACTGATTCCAATTTTAAAGCTATACTTTTTATTATTATTATTATTATTTTAACTTGAAAGCTATACTAATTTAACATCTACTGGAAAAGGGTTTCAATCCTAAAGTCATCCTAGAAAAACATGCAGGGTGTCAAATTTGAGCTTTACCTAGCAAAAACTAGGCTTCTGGTTAGAGCTTTAGTTGAAAATTAGGGTTTCAATATGAAATTGGGTCCATATAAAGCTAGGTTTCTAGCTTGAAGTTTAGTTGAAGGACAAGGTTTCAATCGCAAAGCTAACTCAAGGAAACAAAAGTTTCTGGTTAGGAGTTTAGTTGAAAAACAATACTTCAAAAATAATGACCGTAATGAAAAAGTTGAGGGTTCAAGTCCTACCAAAACTATGTGAATAATGAGTATTTGTGTTTATCTGAAAAATAAATAAATAAATAAGACTTTTTAGTAAAAAAAATAAAAAAAATAATAATAATCAAGGCGTCTAGTTCGAGCTCAATAAACTTTTCAATAGCTTAACTGGCGAAACATAACAATTATATCCAAAGGTCACCTTACTTCACGTGTATCACCTTACTCCACGTGTATGAATCTCTTACTTTTCCAAAAAAGAGACATTATACTATTTAATTTAATTTAATTTGGGTAATTTTTTATTTTTTTCCCATCCACGGTTAATTCAAATATGCATGGTGGGCCGTGGAATCAAATAAATGATTTATATAGGATCAAATTTTCAGAAAGGTACCAAAAAAAAAAATTAGGTTTGTATTTTTAAAGAATTGTGATACATGCATTTGATTATATTTACGAGAGTAAGAAATAGATTCACTATCATCTAGATTCATAAAAAATAAAGTCATGTATGTTCAACTCCTGAATTGTTTGTCATTTTCCATATCTAAATAATCAAAGTGATTATATAAGATTTAGTTTAAATCAACTAATAGATTCTAACCGATTGAAAGGATCATTTGATCAACTAGGCGGCTATTTGGATTAGTATTGAAAGATTTGGAATATCAATCATCCAATATAGGTTCTTTCTTCAAACCAAACGAAATATTTGGAACCTAACAGCACGTACAAAGTGTAGATCAAGATACACATGTATATATATATATATATATATAGTGAGAGAGAGAGAGAGAGAGAGAGAGTTAATGACAATGATTGTATATATTGTTTAGTAACTAGTGCAACTTTTAGAGGCTAATAATTGTTCAATTATTGTGAAGTAGTGCATATCTTTTGCATGACTTCCCAACTCCAATTCTCTTTTCCATTCGTGACATCATCACTCCAATTTAAATTTTTTTCCCCCAATTTTTATATTCAATACTTATTGGTTGGTCTTGTCGTATTTACCTGCACTAATTCTTAATCTTCTCTCAGCACCATATATTTCGTTGTTTTTTCTTATAATTAAGTCAATTTAATTGTACATGTGAACACATTTAGCTACATTATTAACTAGTGGAATTTTCAGTGGAAACATGCCACAATTAATTATTTATGAATAAGATCGATTTCAGTGTGTGTGTGTATATATATATACCACTGTCGTTGTAACACATATATGGATCAATATTTTGATGTTAGATCATGTTGGATTGCCTCTTATTAAGTCTTGGATACTTTCATTATTATAATACAAGATAATAATTAATATTTTAACTAGCATTGAACCCACAGATTGTGCTAAGCCGCCATTATAGCTTTTAACAAAATTAATCACATATATATAATTTCACGAAATCTTTTACTTTTTAGTTAACCTTCCACTCGTTAAGAAAAAAACAAGAGTAGTTTTAATCTTGTGTTTTTATTTATTTATTAAGCATGATCTTTGTGATGGAAACACAAAAGAAACATAACTTTTGAGACAACTCATGCGTGTTGTAAAGTATTATCACCAATTATTGCAATACTATGGTACAATTAGTTTGCGAGTATGCACATACTTCAGCTTCTCAAAAATTTTGTTGTATAGCTAAGACAATTGAAGTTGGTTTAGTTTTGTCACTCAAAAATCAATTCTCAAGAATTAATAAAATAAAAAATTATTTTCATAAAATTATAAAATATAATATTCTGAATACATACTTTTTTTTTAATTGAGTTTTCTAACTGTTCTAAAAAATTGTCAATTAAACAAATTTTTATAAAGTAGAAAACTATTATAACAAAACTGAATTAAGCAAATCCTTAATTTTTGAAATTTATATAAGTTGAACTATTTAACAGCGTTGAAATTAACAATAACCCTTACCTAGGAATTGCATATTAAAGAGATACATATGATACTAAGGCACTACCTTAGATGGTATTACTTTCTACCCCAATGTTGAACTTTTGTGAGAGAAAAAAACACGAAAACAACCATATAGTAGTAACTTTTTCTTTTTTGAACTATGAAATTTTAATAAACTACAAAAAAAAAAATTTACTTTTGCCTTCACTCATACAATTTTATGAATCCATCCCAGTGAAGGCTTGAACTCTTTTTTTTGTGAAGGTTTGAACTCTTTTTTTTGTTTGTTTGTTTTATTTTATTTCCCATAGTTATGAAGACTTGAATTTTAAAGACCTCTCATAACCATTCTAAAAAAATTTAATCGTTATATAACAAATAAATCAACGATATACCTTGAGTTTGATCTTAGATATGTTTTCGGATTGTGATTGCCAATTCTCATCGTAATTGGACACACCATAGATTTGATTTAAGCTAGATCATGCTTTTTTTATTTTTTATTGTCAGGTTAGTCGTATTTGATTGTGATCAGATCTTACCCAATTCATTTGTTTTTTTTGTTTATTAAAATATCTAACGCAGATTACCGAGTTCTGTTCTTGCGTCCTATCTCCGAAAAGATCTCAAAACTTTCACAAGAAAAATTATTGATAATAAATATCAAATCATACTAATAATTAAGTCTACTTTTATGATTTGAATATGATTGGAGTGACACAACACACTCGTTATACTTACAATTTTTGTTTTTCAAGGGTTTATTACATATAAATGGTACTAATAATTCATATTAATCATTTGATGGAGTCGAAGTCTCCTAGTTTGAAAAAATAAAGATTTAAAAAAATACTATTTACCCACATAGAGGTATTGCGTGCATTTAGACAGATATGTACCACTTTTTGTGCATGCAGGTACTATTTTTTTGTCATCAACACAAAAGGACAAAAAGTGGTACCTATGTGAATAAAAGTTATACCTTTATACCCAAAACAAAAGTGGTATCGGATGCACAAAAAATGATACCTATGTGAATAAAAGTGGTATTCCTATACCCAAAACAAAAGTGATACCTGATGCACAAAAAGTGCTACCTTTGAAACTGGAAGAGTGAATTTTTAACTCCATCAAATGGTAAATATAAATCATTAGCACCATTTATATGTAATAATTCATTTTAAAAAAAATACTGTCGCTGTTGATAAATATATTTTTATATACCAGTGCCAAAAATCACTTTCTTAAGAAGTATATATTTGTACGCTTTAGTAATAGAAAGTTTAAACCCTAGAATTCTTGATAGAGTGTTGCTTAATTGAGTTCATAAATCACAAGTCGCGATGGAGGGACTATATGATTTTATGTTTTATTAACTTTTTTTAAAATTATGTGTTGAATTGTTATTGGCCAACATAGTCCTGACTATCACTATCAGGCATGGTGGGGGGAATTGTCTCCACTGAAATTTTTCTCCTTTTTATTATATGCCTAGTATTCTTAGAATAATAATAATTTTTTTATTTTTTATTTTTATTTTTGTAAAAGTCACTCTCCTCACATATTTCTCTTTGCATGTCCCCAATTATATGATAATTTAAAATTAGCTTCCTAAAATTATAGAAAAATTTCATTATTATTCTTATAATATATATATATATATATATATATATATATATATATATATATATTTCTTCTGTAAAGGCCTCTCGACCATATAATAATTTCTCCACCATAAAGTTGATGGATCCCACCACCACACCACCAGATAGCCGAAACAATCAGTCGTGAATAAACACTATCATTTTCTCTTTAATGATAATGATCTGTGCACCCTCAGTCGACGCCCATAGAAGCATCCATCCATGGCCAAAACCATTTGAGAGGGTATAATATATTTCCATTATGTTGGTTAATTATAATATTTGACAACTCTGTCACTAAATTAAGGACCACATGCACACACACACACACATATATATACACGCACACGTACTAGCATTTTTTTGAATAATAAACAAGGTTGCAATTTGTATAAAAGTTGTTTATTACTATATTATTTAGGTAAAAAGATTGTGGTATCTTTGGTTAGAATGATCGAAAGTAAACTACTTTGCGCTAACATCTCATACATATATCTATTATTGATCGATACAACGACTTCACTAACTTTTTTCTTTGGAAAGGTTAGCTACTAATTAATTAATACCATCCGTGTTTAATTAACATTATAGAAATCATTACATATAATTTGAAACTCCACTCGACCCCAGAATAAATATTTTGTTGCTAGTACTATTAAAAGATCGAATTAGCAGGACCACAAAGTTGGTGCACAAAATCCTCACATAAATAAACTATATAACTTACAATGCATGGATGATTTAGTGCCCAACAGAGGCATGGGTTCTCAATCTACTGAGGTATCAGGATGAATCGCAATGCCCACGTGTATATACGCATATATATATATATATGTGCATCTACAGCACGAAATTAAGAGGTGTTAATTAATTAATCAAATATCTTTAATTTCTGTTAAATGCTAGCAAATTATTAATTAAATCATTCTTATTGATATTTCTATTTAATTATAATTTGGAATTACTTAATTATAAAATCCATCAAATTATCAATACTTCAATAGGTATTAACTTAGCTGGTAAGATCTCTCATCTCCAAAAGTAAACTTGAGAGTTTGAGTTTTGCTAAGGGCAATATTGTAGGCACGCTAGAGTTTGCTTATTTTTTTTTAATAATAATAATAAAAAGAACCAACAAATTAGGGGGCCTCTTAATGTGAGCTCACAACCGTGGGATTAATTAAGAACTCACCTAGACAGCCTTAGTGATCTACTTGAAATTAACGGACAAGATTCAAAGTACGTACATTATCTGTACCTCGAATTGTATAACACCTCCCAATAAACTACATATCACAACCCTTATAAAGAGAGCACAGAGAAACATAGGACATAGGTTAAAACAAGCACGAGACAGTAACAAAAAGACACCTCTCTGAAATTTCTCAATCAAACCCAAACACACACATACTCAGAGATATACACATATATACAGTAAACAGAACCTCCCAGGCTCCCACAACTCAATTATTTCTGACCTCTGCAGCCGTTTACCTCTTCACAATACGCCAACCCAAAGCAAATAAATTCCCCCCTCCACCCCTTCCAAAACATCATATCACCAAATTATACTACAAAAACCAATACCAAATGGTAGCCTTAAAAGCACTGTTTGCGCATTTGGTGGCGGTGGCGGCGGTGCTACATCTTTTAGATGCCACCACCACCGCAAGCAACCCTGCTGCCCGTGGCCATGCAACACCACACCCGGACTTCCAACTCTTCAACGTCCCAGAAACCATTATGGGGACAGAACTCCACCCACCTAAAACTCACCATGAATTATCCGATAACACCATTAATGACCATAGTGGTGGTGAGGCCAAGTTGAAGCTAAAGCTATTGCACAGAGATCATCACGTGTCTTTTGCCAAATTTCGCGATCATCGTCACCGTTTTGAGGCGCGCATGAAGAGAGACGTTAAAAGGGTGGCTAGCCTAGTTCGCCGCCTCATGATAGGCGGCGTAGCCACCACTTCTGTTGGTGGTGGTGGACTTAGTTATGAGGTGGAAGATTTTGGGTCAGATGTGGTTTCTGGTATGGACCAAGGAAGTGGAGAATATTTTGTTAGGATTGGCGTTGGGAGTCCTCCAAAGAGCCAATACATGGTTATTGACTCGGGGAGTGATATCATATGGGTGCAATGTCAACCTTGTAGTCAGTGTTACCGCCAAACCGACCCGGTCTTCGACCCGGCTAACTCCGCTTCATTTGCTGGGGTGTCTTGCAGCTCCGCGGTCTGCGACCGTCTTGAGAATGCGGGTTGTCACTCGGGTCGATGTCGGTATGAAGTTTCTTATGGTGACGGATCCTACACGATCGGGACACTAGCCCTCGAAACCATTACGTTGGGGGACACTGGGGTCCAGAACGTTGCCATTGGGTGTGGTCATAGGAACCGGGGCATGTTTGTCGGAGCTGCTGGCCTATTGGGTCTTGGAGGAGGCTCCATGTCATTTGTGGGTCAGCTTGGTGGTCAAACAGGTGGTGCGTTCAGTTACTGTCTAGTGACCCGGGGCACTGGCTCGTTCGGGTCACTGTTATTCGGACACGAATCCTTACCTGTGGGTGCTACATGGGTACCCCTACTTCGCAACCCACGGGCACCAAGTTTCTATTATATTGGGCTTGCGGGTCTTGGAGTTGGAGGTATCCGGGTACCCATACCCGAAGATGTTTTTCAGCTCACTCAAACAGGGCAGGGAGGGGTTGTTATGGACACCGGGACTGCTGTGACAAGGCTTCCAACCGCAGCTTATGAAGCCTTTCGGAATACCTTCATCACTGAAACCACCAGCCTTCCTCGAGCTCCTGGAGTGTCGATATTTGACACGTGCTATGATCTGAACGGGTTTGTGTCGGTTCGGGTACCAACCATTTCATTTTACTTCTTGGGCGGCCCAATCCTAACCCTTCCAGCAAGGAATTTTTTGATTCCAGTCAATGAAAGGGGAACTTTCTGTTTTGCATTTGCACCATCTACTTCCGGACTATCCATAATGGGTAACATCCAGCAAGAAGGTATCCAGATTTCTTTCGATGGAGCAAACGGGTTTGTGGGATTTGGACCCAACATTTGCTAAGCGAAAGTAAAGTGCATTTTGCTAGATGTAGTTGTATCATATTTGTACAAGTAAGGAGTGAGAAATAGCTAGTTATCACTACTATTATAGTATTATGTGTTAATATGGTGTACTAAGGTTGGACTTCTTGTGTTATAAAGGAGAAAATGTAATTTGTGATTTTATCTTTAACTTTTTAAAAAATTATCATTAAGTTATTGGTTTAGATGGTATGAATTATCGTACAAATGAAAAGGTGAGCCGCTGGAGCGAACTCCACCTAAAATAATGTGTGTTGTGTGTGAATATGTTGCATATCCATATAAAAAAGACATTAGAAACAATTCAAGTCCCTTTTGTAAGAGATCGAAATAATTCAAGTGTGGTTGGACAAAATATAATGCTCACTGCCCAACATGTCCAGCACCTAACTTTCATCTCTGTCCATGATAGTGTACATTTTCCCCAAATTCTAGAATAATATAACACACTGGCAATTAGTCCCCTTTCATGGTTCGCGCAAACACAACGTAACGAATTTAGTTCCGTATCAATTTAAATGTAATGAAATTAGTTATTACGCTCATTGATTTCTTTTTGACCTCACACATAAATTAAAAATGTACTGGTGTCCACAATTTATAATACAATTCAATTTAAATGATTTTTTTATAATGAATTTAAATAATTTTATTGAAATTTTGAAGCCCATTTACCTTCACTTTAGACCAATAAAATTTAGGAAAAATTACATATAAATGGAGTCAAAGTTCCATATTTACTTAGAGGCTGAGTCAAAATTCCATATTTCTCTAAAATAGATTGCTGAGGTGGTACATGGTTTTTTACTGTTTAGAAATTGTGGTGCCTAAAATACCCTTCCGCGAAGGTACTACTTTTTCTTTAAAGGTACTACTTTTTTGAACTGAAGGTACTACTTTTTGGCGTCCAGATACCATGTTTTTTAAACACCCGCGAAGGTACTACTTTTTCTCCGAAGGTACTACTTTTTTGAACTGAAGATACTACTTTTTTGAACTGAGGTACTACTTTTTTGTTAAGAAAGGGCATTTTAGGCACCACAATTTTCTAAACAGTAAAAAATCATGTGCCACCTCAGCAATCTATTTTAGAGAAATATGAAACTTTGACTCAGTCTCTAAGTAAATATGAAACTTTGACTCCATTTATATGTAATTTGCCCTAAAATTTATATATTGTCTCTGTATCCTAGAAATGGCAGAAGAGATGGATTGAGTGCTTCAGTTGTACCAATCAGAGTCCTATATTTGAAATTTCTTGCTGCATAAATTTTGGGCCCATTGAATTCAATTGTTGTGACAGTAATTTCCCTCTCTAATTTTTGAGAGTCTTTCGAGTTTTCAACTTTACTTCGTCACGTGTAAGTATACAACAGTTCTAAAATGTAATCAATCATGTAGAAAATGGGCAGTTTAGTAATTTAAAACATTTTTACTAACTACAAGGAAATTAACTACACACGTGTATGAGTAACTTTTTTACTAATTTTTTACATGTAACATAAAAAGGAATATTTTTTTTAGCTATGCGGAGAGGAAAAAATTGAATTTAAGTAACTGATAGATGAAGGCAACTGAAAAAAATGAGAGAATCAGCACCGTCGAATAAGAAAAAAGAAAAAAAATGATGAATCAAACGGTGGAGAAATGAGACAGGTCATCTATCCTGCGTTTGAACTGAGTTGTGAGACTTGAAAAAGAAAAACACAATTTAAATTCCCGCCGTTGAAAAGTGGCGCGAATTTGAAAAGATTCGCTTCATTATCTCCCTCGTCTTAATCCCGCCAAACTCCCTCCTCGCTACCTTATTACTCAGGTCGCGAGAAAACTTCTCACTCTACAACTATATTTCTCTCTCTAGAATTCTCTCTCCCTCTCTCTAGAACTCTCAAGCTCTTCTATTGGAAATGGCGGGTGGAGGAGGAGCAACGAACCCACCGAGACCGAGGAAGAGAGTGGAGGTGGAAACCTCTTCCACTTCCCTCAAACGAGCTAGAGATGGCAGCGCTTTCGCACGATGGTACTCCATATATAATATATAGTTTCAATTGCTGTTTGTATCTTTTAGAAACGTTTCAATCGTCTTTAATTAGGGTTTTGCTTTGCTGAAATTAGATTTCTCTGTGTTATACTTTAGAGTATTTCAATTTGAAATTGGGGGTTTTGATTGTGTTCATTGATAGTTCTCTTTTGATTAGCACTTTTAAAGATCTATCAATCTGCTAGCGCTAATTTTTTTGGTATTAGTCTGATAAGTGATTACATTTCTTTTTATCTTTTAGTGTTCAAATTGAATTTTGTTTTGATGAATAATGGAATAACATTGCTGGGTAATCTGAAATTTGCAGTGATGAATGCAACAAAGATGTGCCTGTGGTTTTGATTGGGATGCACAATTGTAGTCTTGATGCTAAGATCAAAATGAATTTAGGTAATGTTCACACATCTTTATGCGCACACGAGCAAGCACTAATACTCCTATGAAATGCCCAATTTATTCATTGATATTTTGCCAGTTACTATTATGGGTTTGTTAATCAAATTTTTTTTTTTTTTTTTTTTTATTTCCATTTTTGAAAAATGGGTTTTGTCTATTGATTTGATAAATTGCTGTTGCTGTTACAGAGTCACAGGTTGTGGAAAAGGTCACTGAGGTTAAGAAAAAGCCAGCTGAAAAGTACTTCCCGTACCCTCATTTCGATGTTTGAATGTTATCTTTTGGTGTTTGGAGGTTTAATTTCTCAAATTGATTTGTGATTTGCTAAATGTACGTAGAAGCAAAGCTATATCAACAGGATCAAAGCCAACTACAGAAAAGAAGGGGAAAAAGGCTAAAGATCCAAACAAGCCAAAACGCCCTCCAACTGCATTCTTCGTCTTCATGTAATGACTCTTTCTCACTGTCATGCTCATATGACAGATTTTCAAAGTATAAGATGCTTAATACTGGCATAAATGTTCACTTCAGGGAGGAGTTTAGGAAGACATTCAAGGAAGCTAATCCAGACTGCAAGAAGGTTTCCACGGTAACTTTCTGTCTGTCCGTCTCTGTCTCTCTCTATATGTGTGTATATGTATATTTGATTCATTTGACTGTTTTATGTTGATGGGGTTAATTGGTGTTAATTTGCCTCATGCTTGTGGAATTTAGGTTGCAAAGGAAGGTGGTGAGAAATGGAAGTCACTGACAGTTGAAGTGAGTGTTCATCTGATTATATAATCTTATCAAATGTTCAATCAATATGATCTGTTCTAACCCTTCAAATCTTCTTATTTTTTTCCAGGAGAAGAAAGTTTATCAGGATAGAGCTGCAGAGCTCAAGGCAGAGTATGAAAAGGTCTTGGAGTCTCATAATGATGCTGGGAATGAAGATGTAAGCTCTTCATTAATGTTTCTCAATCCAATGTTGGTTTCATAGATTATTCTTTGTGGGTCTTACAATTTATTCAAATTTGTTGTGTTTAATTTAGGAGGAAGGAGCTTCATCGGAAAAGGAGGCCGAACCTGAAGCCGAAGCCGAAGCAGAAGTGGAGACAATTTCTGATGATGAATAAATTTAGGTTTCTACTAGATTTGTTCTTGTTGGAGAATGCATTTGGTTCCTCGCTCTTGACAATGTAAATTTTGAATCTGGTCTTATCATTTAAGTTTCTTCAAGTAACCAATGTGGCCAATAGTGATTTAACAGCAGTTTTATCTCTTGCTTACTCTGTTAGATCATTGAATCATGCTATAATAGTGAAGTTGAGTCTCAGTTTTGGCCTGCCAAATTTTGCTTCCTTTGTTCCTCTATTGTAGCATGTATCTAAATATGATTTGCTTAGCAGTCGAATGATTTTTGTTTCAGTGTATGGAGTTTTACTTTTATATAGTTTTTCATCTTTTTGTTTGTTACTGAATTTGTAACAGTAATAGAATAGAGCTGGGGGATGCTTAGATGTAACCTAGACCTAGTGGTGCAGTTGAATGAGTTTCATGTTCATTAACAAGATGGGAGTATTTACAAATACATGTATGAGCATAGATTATGGGGTTAATAGAACTGGTTGGGTGTTTCGCGATTAACATTATTTGTTTACCCTAAATCTTCATCTTTTAAATACTCACCCTACCGAACTATTTGGGAGTCTTCCTTGTAAGCCAGTTGTCGGGCAAGTCGAGTCATTGCATCTTCATCAATATTCTTTGGTTCTTTCAAGATCAATCAGGTCTGACACTGAAATAGCAATATGATCTGCACTATTGTCAGTGTCTATATTGGGCAATTTCAAGCTCAAACCTTCACTTGTTCTGTCAGAAATTTGATTGTTGGCTGCATGTTTAACCTCCCAAAAAAGCTGCTTGCTTCTTTTGTATATCTTGGAGAGTCCCATAAAGAACAGACTTTGGTCTTCAAATCAAAGAGGATGATATGAATGCGACAACCTGATACATGTTGATTCATTGTTTTCAACAGAAGAACACTGTTCTAGATGTGAATGAACGGATCAGATAGAGAGATTGGCAGCATTTCAAATTAAGTGACGTTTGGATTTGAAATTGCTCGATATAGCCTCTGGAGTATGCTGCTTGCTTGTTTTAAGATTTACAGACCAAAAAAGAAGAGACTTGTGATTTTTTAATATGGCAATCAGACTGATTGTGGGTGTATTATGTTGATCAACTGTACAACAGTATTCTTGAGGTGAATCAATGAATCAGGTAACATATAGATTTGGCACTGAGGCTGTGTTTGGTGGCAAAGAATTGAAATTGATAAAATTGAAAAAAAAATTGGTTTAATTTTTTGAGTTGTTTTTCTTTAATTCCACTCATTCTAAATCCAAAGCTTAATTCTATGTTTGCCAAACGGAGCATGAGTGCCATTTATGTTTAATGGGATAGGTGGTTTATGATAGAGAAGTGAATCTAAAAAGGAACATTTCTTTGAATGCTAATCGTTCCACTTCCCAAAGCCATAAGTGTCCACTTCCCATAGCCGACACTTATTTTAGAACAGAGGGATTATTTAGTTTGCTGGTATTGTCCATGGATTCTCTCATTCACTTAAAAACAGGCTGGAAACTCAAGAAAGGCTTGATAACCTATTTGCAGTTGCAAAGTTTACTGACGCTATGTTTGGGGATTAAAATTGGAGGATAGTAGTAATTCAAGGCGTCAATTCATTGCTCTACTCGTGACATGATACAATTTAGACTATCCTCTCATAAGGTGAGTCACTTACATGGTAAATCATTTGGTTGGAGATGAAATAAATTCATCTCTGCCTCTAAATCTATAAAATTTGGCAGAGACCAAGCCTTGTATCTCAAAGACAAATGATGTCTGTGTCTCCTTGAAGATTGTCTACCACATAATCATATGACTACATACATCAACTTGCTTATTTATTTATTGTTATTCCATTCAAAGTCTACAATCCCATAGGCTGTAACAGGACATAACAACATAATCATCAGAAGAATATAGAAAAAACACAAATTACCTAACAAGCCCTAGGTTGAGAATGCCCCAGGAAGTGTTTGGCCATGACTTCTCCTTTGCCTTCATCAACAGAACCCTAGCCCAAGCAATCCAACCTTCCCATGACATTCTCTTGTCCCAAGGACTACCCCACTCCAACAATAGGGTAAGCCCTTTCTGGGCCTCTCTCTCACCCTCCTCAAACCTCCCTTTGCTCAAATAAATCTGACCCAAAACCACACGTGGCTCTCCAACAAAAGGGTTCTTCTCAACACACCTCACCAACATCTCCTCAGGTCTCTCCAACCCAATATTCTCTTTCTCGGACATATCACAACAAACTGCCTCCCAATACAACTCCCTAGCAACCATCTGGTCTTCTGCATTCAAAACCCTAGTGCAATTCTCAAACACTGGTGGCATCACTAGCTCTAAATCTTCATCTCTCTCCAAATCAATACTACTCAATTTCTTTGATCTCTGTTCTATCATGAAAATCTCTTCCTCTCTCACTATCAGGGTATATATGGCACCCATCCTGGATATAGAATTCATCCAGAGCCCGGGCTTGCCGTCACCCGGCCATAGACCGGCCGCGTAATTGTTGCCGGAAAACTCAAGACGGCCGTTCGAGTTGTCGAAGAGGACGTCCTGAAAGCCGAAGAGCTGGTCACTGAAATCGGCCATGGTCATCATAAGGAAAGTGGCGACCACCCTTCTAGAAACCCGGACGTCTTCGCCGGTCTTGATGTGCTTCACGATGATCCCCTCAGCTGGAAGAATTGCCTGCAGCTTCTTCCTCCAATAATCTTTTTCTTCAAATTGTTGGTTTTCTTTAGCGTTTCTCAACGACACCTCGGACAGCTTGAGGTGTTCGACGAGCTCTGCATCGGAGTACTGGAACAGGAGATCATCGTGGATGAGAGGCTGTCTGGGGACGATGCAGAAGAGGTGGATGAGACGCTCGGCGGCTTCCCCAACGTGTCCGCGGACGGTGTCGCGGCCGGTGGAGGGATCAAAGATGGCGAGATTGACGTAGGAGTTGGAGTAAGCAGAGTGAAAGAGGCCACAGAGGCAGACGGAGTCCTGAGCTCGCCAGAGCTTGAGAACGCGGTAGATGTCGACGAGGTGGTCGAGGAAGCTGCCGTGCTTGTGCCAGCACTCGCCTGCACCGACTGACCGGAGCACCGCCACCAAGGAAGGGAGGTTCTTGTCGATGGCTTCGAGCTCTCCGCGGAGAAATGGACGGGCTGATTCTAGGAGTGTTTGCAGCTTCTGATGATGATCATCATCAGATACTATTGGAGAGACAGAAACTGAAGATGGCATGTCGTTTGGTTAACTGAACAGAAGAAGAAGAAGAAGAAGAAGAAGAAGAAGAAGGATATCTAATCAAGACTTCTGGTTTAATGATGGGTGTGTTATATATGTATGGAAAGGGAAAGGGAAAGGGGAAATGATTTTATCAAGTACAGATGAGTTTGTGTGTGTCAGTGTGTGCAGGAGTCGTGACAAAGTTTGATTCTTTCTCCAATATAATTACAAACACAACACGTACGTCGGAGAAGATAAGGTTGGTTCCTTAATCGCAGTGATATTTTACCAATAGAAAGAATTTGTCCAATTTGAACATATAGTCAAAACTTATTTCACTCTAACATTGTGTCATTCAGTTTTAATAATATACATATATAAATAGACACATTCACCCTTATCACTGTAAGTGACACTTTATCACCACCCACCATTCATCACGCCATATACAACTTACTCAACATACTTCAAACAAATTTGTGCTTCGACCGATATTCAATCTTGATCTTCAAAGGTTACTCAGTAAAGCTCTAAACCCTAAAACAATAATTGGTTAATATTGATTTAAAATGATTACTGATCTACTAAGTTTGTCCGAAAATTGAAGCTAAAATATATATATTTTAGCTGATAATTGTTCCATGTTAGGGTCTAGTATGTCAATCCAAGATGTTTGTGTCTTTCAACTTTAATAATATACATGCATAAATAAATTTTTATACATTAGGATTTTAAACGGGACTATTCTATTATGTATAAATTGTTACGTATGTATGGAATCTACGGCCCATTAATGTTATTAGTGCATTACCCATTAATCCCATTCATCAGAGAGTATTTTGTTTGTGGACATATGAAAGTTGAGTTTAGTGTATTAGTGGGATGAGATCAAAAGCATGAATGAATTAGTAGAGACATCATTGATATGTAAATCGGGTCTATAAATTGAGTACATTGAGGAAGATATATGAAAAAAAGATTACTCTCATCTCTCTCATTCTGTATTTCCATTTCTTACTCATTCTTTATATGATATGTTTATAATATAAATATAATTTTATTTTATAATTGTGTTTAATTAGATACTGTTGTATAGGTTCAGAATTTGCTATTTTTCTTATCTATAGTACAACTTCACCTCCCAAGCGGATTGGAGGCAATATGTCATTCACTAATGTCATTAACGAATCCCCCACAAGAATGAAGAATACAAGTGTAAAATAAAATCTGTAGTGGGTGTTGGTGAAAACTGAAAAGTCATGCATGGACATGAGCTACTGCGTGCGTAAGATGTGGCTGAAAAAAATCAGAGACGATAAAATGATTAGTACTGAACGCTCAAACCCTATCAGTACTGTGCCGAGCCAGTGGCAGGAACCATGTTTAAAGCCTTCATTATAAAAGCATATCTGAAGGCATCTTCTTGGAGCTTCTCAAACATGCAACCAGCAAAACGTAACACATGTTAATCACGGGGAGCATATGTACCGGAAAATGCTAGAACTAAAGCCTTTCCCCCCTTCTGTTCATCAACAATAGAACACTCTAAAAATTGGCAGTTCAAAATTGGTCCAAAGGCCATTTTACGCATTTCCTTCGCCCTCACCAAGGATGGTAGGAGGGAAAGGCTACGTACGGTCATGGACATAACCTTTGAACTCACTTACACAACATAAGTCGTCAGCTCCATCCTTTACGTCTACACCAAGCGAATATTTGTTCTTAACAAAGATAGTATGGTAAAAAACAAAACAATACTAAACAAAAAGAATTAAGAATTAGGTGAAGGCGTTGAGAGAAATATATAGTTTTTCACTTTTAATCTTAGAAGAGAGAGAATGGGCACAAGAAAGAATCCAAGCCAATTAGGATGGGCAAGAAGAAAACTATAAAACCAGAGCAAAAATAAAGGATAAATGGTATAGCCATCTTAAACCTTTTTTTTTTTTCGTCTTCTTTTTCTTTAGCTTACCCAAATATTCTAAAAAGAAATACGTGCATCTTTCTCGACTACTACGTGATTCATTAAAAGGTTGGTTCTTAAAGCAATATGAGCTAAAAGTGACAAATTATCAAGGACTACCGTAGAATCCATCTCCCTTCTATATGTACATACACACATATATAGATCCCATGTAATAGAAAAAGAAAATATAGTTACTCATGTTAATAGAGAGAATGGGCACAAGAATCTAAGCCAATTAGGATGGGCAAGAAGAAAACTAAACAATAATAGCAAAACAAACAATAAATCGCAAACAAAATATACAGACTTCTTTTTCTTTTCCCCCCACTATTTTATTATTAAACACAATCTAATATGGTAAGATACATGATATGGCCGTCTTACCATTTCTTCTTTTTCTCGTTTTATCTTTCTTTTGCTTACCTAAGTGATCTAAATGGAATCATGTATATCTTTCGTAACTGCTACGGGATTCATCAAAAGGTTGATTCATAATGAGAACTATGTTCTAAAATGTGACAAATTGTCAAGGACTACCTCTAAATAAGTAAACGATATTCTGATTGTGAAACAACTTTGCTATAAAATCCGTCTCCCTCTGCTATACGCATGCACACACACAAATTCACACATATGAGATTGAGCATAAGCTGTTTACTAGCCTTCTCCTGTGTATTATATAACATGAAAAAGCAAGACACAATGCCCAAAGGGTTCCAACTAAGACTGCCTCCAAAAGTTGGGTTTACTCGATAAATGAATTTTCAACTTGTTGAAATTTTTAACACCTGCATAATTTTAGGATTTCTTATCCATGAATGGAATAAACATTAATGCATGGTTAGACAGTATGGTTCATAGCTCGTACCACCATTCAAGCCCATGTTCATTTTCTCAACCTTTTTTCTTTTCTTTTCAAAAGGTGAGTAGTAACCACACAATTTAACCATTCTCTCTTGCCTCTTCATTCTGCTCTACCCTATAAGTTCACTTCAGATGCTGGTCTCGCCTAAAACCAATAGAACACAATGAGATTTAGGTCTATAATCAGTTTCACTTTCTAACCCTGTGATCACTACAGCTTTTGGAAAACTTTAACCCCTTAATGCATCATAAAGATGAAAAGTGAATGGCTTAAGGTGAAGAGCTCAACCAGAAAAAAGTAAAATTGTTACCTTCCTGACTTTGAGAAGTGCCCAGCACCTAATTCACACTTGAACAACAGCACATTATCATCAAGTTTCATCTCTCTCAACTTTGCCACAAACTTAGCAGGTTCTGAATACATAACACGTGGATCTGTTGCAAACATAAAAGATATTAGAATGAACACTATGAGAAGGAATTTTGCATCAGATATGAGAACAAAATAGTCCATCCTCCAATTTATCCACAATGACGGTCACCGAATCAGCATCCACTGTTCAATTATTAAAAGGATATAATAATATTACCCCATGTTTACATTAAGGGTAAATTACATGGTTTGCCCTAATTACACCAGCATCAAACTTCTGCATTTTGTTGCAATGACCTCCCTTCACAGTTCAAGGCCCATTGACATTAAAATTTCAAATGAAATTACTTTTATACCCCGATTTTTATAATAATAAAATGAATAAAAATCTTACATAGTAGATTGACCTTTCTCTCTCTCCTTTGCCCTCTTTAGTTCTCTCTCCTCACTATGTATTTGTCGATCCCCAGAAATTTTAAAGAAGAAACCTAAGAAAGATGATGGTTTTTACGAGTCTACGCTTAAGAGCTCATATTCATTGTTCACGAATGAGGCAGCTAACAATGAAAAATCTGTGGATGAGGAGTAAGTTGATTTTTTTTTTTTTTTGGATCAGTAATGAGTAGGTTGATGAGTCAATGATTTTCAGACAGCTCTCAACCGACATGGTTCTGTTCGCGAGTCATATTTACAAAGAAGATATTTTACCGACTTATTCAAAGATGTTCACCATCTTATCAACACCATTAATCTGATCACAAGAGCTTTATGAATGGATCTCTCTTCAAGCCTGAAGATTGGAGTGCTACCGTTGCTCCAGTGTCTTCGTCCTCACCGGCGGCGGTTTCTTTCTCTCACTCCTTTGAGTTGGATATAATTTTTTTAGGTTAAATAGCAATGAAGGTAGAGAGACAAACAATCCAAACTCAATTTTGTACTAGCCGACAATACGAACCCCTGCAAATCAAAACCCAATTCTCAAAGATGAAATCATTTTGACCAATTATTAATATCTCAAAGATCAATTGCAGTTGGTTTTCTACTACACCTATATAAATCCCAAAGGTAGACATGGAAGAAGAAGACACACACTAGAAATTCTGTCTTTTTCTTAACTTCTAAGGCCAAAATTGGTGATGTTTGCTTTTACTTTTACATTCTTGTAATCCTTTAATTTCAGTAATATCACCTTACTTCCCATGTAAATTTAGGTTTTTTCTCTTTTTAGTTTACTGTGCAACATTTAATTTCCTTGAAGTCCTTACTTGGATTTGTGGCAATAAACTACATATATTTAAGAGCCATTGCATTATGAAACAATGTGGGTATGGGACCATGCAGGACAGGTCATGAAATAAAGAATGAAGCCAAAAGAGGTTTCACTCATCCTATCACCGCAATGGAACAAAATAACACAATGCATACTTTTATGTTTTTTTATTTTATTTTATTTTTTATTTTTATTTTTTTAAGGATTACAACAAATATAAGTGAAAGAAGGAAGGTTTTTCCATTGTTACATAGAGGTCATGGGTTCAAAACAAGGAAACAACCTCTTTGCATGTGGAGGTAAGACTGTGTACATTTCACCTATGTTAGTTGGACTTGTGTATGGGTGTCGGGCACGGGAGCGTATCTAGAGTTTGGATTCATCATTTTCCTGAATTATTGGAGGCTAAAAAGTGTCAAAAAATTGGACTCGGGTACTTGGACATGTCACATATATTTTATGTACATTTATTTGTTAGAAGTTAAAAGTATTTTATGCACATTTATTTGTAAGAAGTTAAAAGAGTTGTAGAAGTCTGAATGTCTGCTTGTGAAAAAAGAGTTTTAAATTGATAAGGAGTCTTAAAAGGTAAAGATTATTTTACATAATGAGAGTCAAAGTAAAGATTATTTTATTTTTATTTTTTTGATATGTAAAAATTCATTAAAAGCCCTCAAAGGGGGAGAGTTCCCAAGAGAATACACAAGATGTGAGCCGCGATGCTATAACACTTTCCAAAATTATTTTAGCCTTTTTCCTTAAAAAAAAAAAACGAAGAGCTGTCATAAACTTTTCAGAAAAGAACAGCTGTCATTAATGTAAAACAGCTCATTCCCATTCGAGAAGGCTAAAAGTCTCCATTATCCACAAGTGAAGACTTGGCAGCAACACAACCTTTCAAAAAACTGATCCAGTGCATGAAAACAGTCCTGGCTGACTCAAAAAACCATGCAAAGGTCTCCAAAAGGTGTCAGTTTTTAACCAGAGAGCTTACAAAACCTTCACAGAAAAAGGTCATCTTCTACTCTCCAAAAACACACCATTTTTGAACTAGAGAGCTTACAAAACCTTCACAAGTATCCACCAATCCAAACCATACGTAATTTTGTTCAGTAGCCTTACTCGATAGACAAAAAGGAATGTCCGACCCATATCTCGTGTCGTGTCGACACCAACACCTCGGCCAACTATGAAGAGTCATAGCTGTGGAAAGATCTAGGCTGAATTGTTAGGAAATTAGTTAGGGAGGATTTTTAGGAGTTATCCATAATTAGATAGTTGACAGGTAGGATTTTTAGGAATTATCCATAGTTAGATAGTTGACTTTTTTTAAATTATGATCTTTATATATCTTTTCCTTAGATAGAATTTGTAATACACTTCTATATATACAAGCCTGTAAACCTTTGCGTTCACAGTATCAGAGCCACCCTCACTAGGACAGTAAATTACTCCATTGTTCTGCTAATTATCCAATAAAATCAGCAAACATTCATCGTTAATTCTGGTCGTTTATACCAGAATTATAGAAGACTTATTCTTCTATTTCTCTTCGTCGTTTCTGGACAATTTCTTTGAGGAAGTTTTGTTCGATTCTTCAAATGCTCGGAAATCCCAGATCATTTCATCCAGTGCAGGTGACAACCCAATCCTCCAAATTACCACTCATCGGCTGAATGGACAGAATTTTCTACGGTGGTCTCAATCCGTAAAGTTGTTTGTCCGAGGGCGGGGGAAGATTGGTTATTTAACTGGTGCAAAGCAGGCCCAAAGGAAGATGATCTAGCATATGCCATTTGGGATGCAGATAATTCCATGATTATGTTATGGCTAGTGAACTCCATGGAATCGGAGATACGCCAGACATTTATATATCTCACCACTGCCAAAGAATTATGGGACGCAGTGAGTGAGACATACTCAGACTTAGGCAATTCCACATAAGTCTACGAAATTAAAACAAGGATCCGAGAAACAAGACAAGGAGATCAGACTGTTACAAAGTATTACAACATATTACAAGGTTTGTGGCAAGAACTTGACCGCTTTTTTAATTTTGAATGGAAGTGTGCAGGTGATAGTGTCCAGTTCAAGAAAACAGTTGAGAAGGACCGTGTATTTGAATTTTTGGCTGGACTCAATGCTGAGTTAGACGAAGTGAGAGGACGTATTTTAGGCAAAGAGCCACTGCCTACCACGAGAGAAGTCTTCTCAGAAGTTGGGAGGGAAGAAAGCCGCATGTTGGTGATGATGGGAAAGAAATCCTCTAGCTCTCATAATGAGAACTTTGCACTCAATGTAACAACCACTAAAATAGTAGCAACTGCAGTTAATCCAAAACCAATAAATCACCCACAGCGGAAGATTGAAGAGAAAACCAAGATCTGCTGTGATTTCTGTAACAAACCAAGGCACACATGAGAAACATGCTGGAAACTACATGGAAAACTAGCAAATTGGAACGTAGGCAGATTTGGAGACAAGAATGGGCGTGGAATGCAGGCTACTACTGAAACTGAGACATATCCATTCAGTAAGGAGCAACTTGATCATCTCTCCAAACTGCTGAACCAAACTCAGGTTTCAAGTGTCTCATCTGGTTTTTTTGCCCAAAAAGGTAGTTCTTTAAGTGCTCTCACTAGTTCTTTAAATCCGGCACCTTGGATCATTGATTCTAGTACATCTAATCATATGACTAGTTTATCACATTTGTTTAGTACATATTTTCCAAGTTCTAGTCACTTAAAAATTCGTATGGCTGATGGTAGTTGATCTCCAGTTGCAGGAAAAGGTTCTATAGTTATCTCAGAAAACCTTGTTTTAAAATCTGTCCTCCCGTGCCATTATAATCTTGATAATGGGAGACTGACTTGGGATGTTCAGTTTAGGAGGCACTTTCAGGACTGGGAAATTGAGGAGGTCACTCGCTTTTTGGATTTATTGTACCGCCACATGATTACAGTTGGGGATTCGGATTGTTGGATTTGGGATCCCAACTCTCAGGGTCGCTTTGAGGTTCAGTCCTTTTTTTGGTGTCTTACGCTTAGCTCTGGAGGTCCTTTCCCTTGGAAGTCTATTTGATGGTCTAAGGCTCCTCTCAAGGTGGCCTTCTTTGCTTGGACCTCTGTCCTGGGTAAGATTCTAGCCCGGGATAATTTGAGGAGAAGGAATCAGGTGGTGGTTAATTGTTGTTATATGTGTCGGAGCGACGAGGACAGTGGATCATCTTCTGTTACATTGCAGCATGGCTAGGGACTGTTGGGATTTAATGCTTGGTTTGTTTGGGATCCCTTGGGTCATGCCTTGCTCCTCTAGAGGGTTAATTGAGGCTTGGAGAGGATTCTCAATGGGGGCTCTCATTCAGGATGCTTGGAGGGCTACGCCTCTTTGTATTTGGTGGTGCATTTGGTTCGAGAGAAATCAGCGCTATTTCGATGGAAAGGAGAAGCTTGCTTCTATGCTTAAGTTTCTATTATTTCCACTCTTTTTGTTGGGTTTTAGGGAGAGATTTTAGATCTGTTGAGGAGATTGTTGTTTTTTTGGCCTCTTTGAAGGCTTGAGGCACACTTTGGCCTTTTGTTTGCCTTTGGGTTTCGCTTAGAAGGCCTTTTGTTTGTCTTTGGGTTTCGCTCCCCTTCTAAGCGCTTTCTTTATAAAATTTTACTTATCAAAAAAATAATAATAATAAAAAATAAATAAATAAAAAAAATTTGCCTAACCTTTCATGCAATCTTTTATCAGTTAGTAAACTAACCAAGGATTCTAATTGTGTTTTCAAATTTCTTGATTACT